GAACCCGTTTCCAACACCTGTCTGACTCAGTGTGTGTTCTGCATGTGGGTTAGGAACCTAAAACCCATCATGACAGCAAGTCTTCTCCACATCATAGTGGCCATCTTTCAGTTAATTTGGATAGAATGTGCAGCACAATTTGATTTATAATAAATGATAAATATATGTGTCCTTGTCTTTAGCATATACTACACACTTACCTCTAGTACCGGTGGAAACAAAAGTCCTTGCTGTAATGGGATAATGTAGAGGGGAGAAGACTACACATTTGCATGTTGACACAGAATATGGATGCTGTACCCAGATGGTAAAATCTGAATCCTGTTTATAGACTTAATGTGGTTACAAGTAGTAAACACAAAACAGCCCACTTTCCTGAGAGGTACAGTAGACATCTCTCATACAGGCACTACATAAGGTAAGATTTGCCACCTTGGTTATCACCAAACTGGATCATATTTTTTACCAATCCTACAGGCTGCATAAAAGAAGTCTCGTCCTGATTGGGAACAGAATTTAGCTCTTGTACTGTTTGGCAGGAAAAAAAAAAAAAAGTGGTTCCAATTAATTTCTTTCTCTTCCCTGTATGGAATGATGGCCTTAAACTGGTCCTTGCTTGAACTTGCAGAACTACATAAACAGGAAGAAATATGGTCCAGGGCTATCTGACAGCAAAATGTTAACTGAGATGCTAAAAAGAGATATTTGGTGTGCATAGAATGAGGTAATTGATGGAGAATAGGAAGAAGTGGGAGTTGTAAAGTATCTGTTGCCAGGGTTATGTGTGCACTGCAAAAAAATGACATCTAAATTAGTAATCTTTTCTTTAAATAAGTGCATTTTTTCTTGAATTAAGGATTTAAGTGAGACTGCCAATGGAACAAGACAATTTACACTTAAAATAAGAAAAAAACAATTGCATTTTCTTATTTCAGGTGCATAATATCTAAATACCTTATTTTAAGAGTAAAAATACTAATTCCATTGGCAGATAATCTTATCTACCTGCTCAAATTAGGGGTAAATACCCTTAATTTAAGACATTTTTACTCATTTTGAGATCATTTTTGCAGTGTGGTGAGGTTGTTGCTGGCGTACCGTAGGTATGCAAAATGGGTTCTGAGGATGGTGAGAGGCTAGCCAGCCACTGTGGTGAGCAAGCTGGTTATTTCCTGCATGTGATGAACTGAGAGTGAGAATTTTTATTCTCCACTGCAGAAGTAAAGAGGAGAGAAATTCCCACTATTTTTGAGGGCATGTCATCCACATCAATGTCTGGGTCAGATGGGAAACTTGTACATCACAACTGGCTCCGGTGAGGTAAAGTCTGTGAATCGTCTTTCAAACTCTGCTGCAATGTTCTTATCTTGGCCAATGTGCAAGGCACATCCTTTCCAGCCAAGTTCATTAGTCATTGGTCACAGATCTTGTTTAGCAGAGGAACTTTACTATGACTAAAAAAGGTTTCAGCTCAGAAATGTGCCACAATTTTTCCTCTGTTTGTTTACCCTACATCAGTATGCAGCAATAACTCAAATGCTCCACGTCAGTGTCCTGCATGTTCACGGAGCCTGGAGCTTGTTGGTCGATGAGGAGGTGGTAGTGGATAAGGTTAGAAAAAGCATAATGTTTCTTACATAAAGCTATGAAGACATTTGTGGAAAATGACTATAGCTGGCACTCCATCTGTGGAAATAGAAAAAAGTTTACAGAAAGGCCACAACCGTTGCATTATGCTGGTTATGTCCTTGGACTCATCAAAATAAAGTGAAAAAAAACTCACATTGATGTCCTTCATGAGCTGTTCATGAATGTTTTGCACAAAGCCTTGTGATAGTTTCTGGACAACTGCACATGCGTATTAACTTTTATTATTTCAGATTTAATGTTCAAATTCAAAAAAAAAAAAAAAGAGTGTAAGTACGCCCTAGAAAGAGCCCTTCACCAACTTGCTATGTCCGAATGTTTTTTTCTGTTTTTCTGGAATGCGACTTACTGAAAATGATGCAGTGGTAGATGCCTTTTCAGTTGCATTTGGTCTCATAAGAAGGGACTGCTAAGCTGGTTGAGGCTGTAATTCTCTAATTCTAAACATTTGTAGTAACTGTAAGAGCAATAAAGCAAAAAAGATAGAATATGCAAAAACTATGTAAAATTCATAGTTGCAGTTTATATTTTATTTCATTCTTAGTTCATGTCATTGTGCATTTAATAGTTCTAAGAAAAAAAGTTATCGATATAGAAACAGTTTGATGAAGCTGCCTTAGAGTGATGTAACTGAGAACCTGCAGCACCAGTTTAGTCAGAGCTGTGCAAGGCATGGGAGCAGAAAGTTTTCTTACCGTGCGCCTTCTGATTTGTAACCCTTTTTATTTTCTAAGTAAAGACACCAAAACTCTAAGAACTTTTCATGTCGTGCACATGAAGAAATTACAGTGTCTGCAGCTCTAAGTGGTATTTTTGAAAGCTGAAGGAAGATTGCCACTACAGTCACATTTGGCAGTATAATCCCTTTCCTAGGTTATAAGTAATTTAAAAACTCCTTTACAGGTTTCTTTTTTTTTTTGCTATTGAAATCCTGGTTGTAGATATTAGACAAACATAACAAACACCCCTTACTAATGAAAACACTGCAAACAATAAAGATGTGTAGTGCTTTTTAAGCTAATTCACTTCTGGTATTTTTTATTTTTTTTCCTTGGCAGACCCCCCAGAGGGGCATTTTCCCAGCCTAAATTGTAATGATATAAATGAACCAGGAGATGGCTGTATTTGACAGAACTATTGCAAAACAGTAATAGAGAGGAAGGCACTTCAAATCCACCTATGATCATCTGAAGATCAACTGATCAATTGTGACCGATTGGTTTGGCATCACTGTCCTAATGTTTGCAGTATGAAATAAATTGTTTTATAGTTGTTTTTTAAACTAATTCATTCTTGTTCATGACCCAGCTTTATCACATGGTGACAAACTGTTCTAAACAACTTCTTCTTAAATGTAAGTTATTAACAGTGATGGGACTAACGGCGTTGAAACTAACGGCGTTACTAACGCCGTTACCTTGTTTTAGTAACGAGTAATCTAACTAATTACTTTGACTGTAACTATAACGCAGTTACCATTGCAGACACCCCGTTACTGCGCGTTACTCAGGTCGCACAATGAACCTTTTTTCATTATAGGACTCGTGCGCAGCTGCGTGAAGCTGACACCCCACCCACATCAAAAAACTCTGCAAATAGACTGAATGGTTAGTGCAACGTTAGTGCAGATTTGTGCGGAAAAAAATATTGTTTGTTCTACTTTTGTTTAAGAGATATTAAAGATTATTTTTTTAGGTCATCCAGAGGTGCGCGCCTTGTCATGAGAGAGGGGAGGATGAGATTCCGTCTGTCAGTTGAATAGGTGGGTGTTTCTGCTGGTGGGTGTTAACGTACAGCACACACAGAGAGATGGAGAGTGAGGATGACTCCAGCAGCAAAACAGCGTTTTCCACATGGAAATACCGGTGTTACGTCGAGCTGCGTTTCCCCATCACATAACGGTTACCTCTGCATCTCCACACAGCGCAGGCGGCAAGAGTCACCGCGCAAGCGACAGGAAACGCGCATGCTCGCTAAAGGCGCGCAACAGTCGCTCTGTGTTCGCGCCACAGGAGAACTATGGAGAGCGTGAACGATCAAATGAACCTGACAACAGCCAGAAATGATAGCCTGTATGGAGAAAGGGAGAAATCTGGATGGATGGATGGATGGATGGATGGATGGATGGATGGATGGATGGATGGATACTCTGCCTTCTCAACCTACTGTATTTTTTATTTTAAACATTATTTGATGGCCTTTGTGGCAGGGATGGAGATCCATATTTTATGTCACACACAGAGTATACATCTAGATAGATAGATAGATGATAGATGTTGCAGTATCTATAACAACCCAAACACACAGGATTTCAGAATTAGACATCCCCAGTTATTAATTTCATATACTCACCGGACCTGAATGTCCTGTTATAAAACTTCACATCGCGTTCCCCCTGATGTCATTTACGTTGAGTTGCAATAAATGCTAAACTGTCTGCAGGTTCTTGTCTTTGTCGTCCGCTCTATTCAGCTGGCTTTGGAAACACAGGCGAGAAGGTGGGGGCCGGGTGGTGAGGTTTACGGGGGCGAGAAACGCAAAAGTAACGCAATAGTTACTTTTACTAGTAACTAGTTACTTTTATTGTGGAGTAACTCAGTTAGTAACTCAGTTACTTTTTGGGAGAAGTAACTAGTAACTATAACTAATTACTTTTTCAAAGTAACGTGCCCAACACTGGTTATTAAAAGGTCATGATTTAGTATATTACACAATTCTCCAGGTTTTGTATACAACAAATAAGAACATATAGCCAGTGATAATCTGAGAAAGGATGGGAAAACAGATAGTTACTATAATCTGAAATAAAAAAATAAAAAAAAAAACATTACAAACAACAATTATGCAAAGGATCTTTGTGGTAAAAAGAATTATTTTCAGGAATGGACTTATTCAAGGGATAAAAGAGTGAAGAGCCATGATGTGATGTCATTCAAAAAGATATTTAGTAAAAAAAACCTGAATGTCAGGATGTATGACAGTTAGTGCATGGACATAATGATGGTATTACATTTTGAATATTTAAATACTTATGAAATTATTTAAATACTATAAAAGAAATCACAGTTAATGTGGATAACTGAGAAATGAGTGATGTAAATACTGTAACTGAAATGATGCAATTTCTTGTGCAATGAATAAAAGGGGCGGATATAAGATATCACATAAGATATAAGAACATTTTTTTTTTTGTCGTGTTTTTCTCTTGTTAAAAAATTAGAAAGTAGAAACTGTTAATTTACTGAGGCAGAGCTTTTACAATTCCTAGGTCCTACAAATCCCATGTACATCAGAAAAATAAAAAAGACACACCAATCAAAAGCTTGGGTCACGGGAGGTTAAAATTATTAATTATAAATAGAAAAAAACAACAAGTGATAACCCAAATCAGAGCAAATACTTTCCTTATCTGGGCTAAATTCTAACCCAGTTTTTCTGAGTGGGTTACAGTAACTTAAAGGTTGATTTCTTTCTGTCCACCACAAAACACAGCAGAAAACACAATAGAAAACAAAAGAAACATCCATAGAAAACATTGATCACATTCATCAAAGTCCCCTCTACTCTTTGCTCTTTATCAACTTGCTCCTTAGGGACAAATGTAGGATAAAATAACATTGATCATATTCTTGATGATGGGAGGTTGTGGATGGAGGTTGTGTGGCAGGTGGTGAGCTACAGTCATCGCCCAGGCATCCACCAGCTTTACTTTTACTCTCTGAAATATTGCCCTTAGGATCTTATCACGCTGTAGGGAATACCAGTCACTATTGGTCAGACTCTCGTACAGCGTCAGTGTTTTGGGGTTTGCAGTCCTGATGATGACCATAGTACCTGGAGCCCTGTTTAACAGCCGGACCACTGCTTTCCGAATGTTCAGCAGACGTCGAATGTAGACCTCTACAGGAAATGTGCTGAAGTGAGACCAGATGCCAATAATTACAACAGTGTTTTCTCCCCCTACAACACGGTCAAGTTCATTGGCAATATAGCGAAGCTGGCTGACAGGCACATAGCGAAAACGGATGGGAGGTCCGTGGCTGCGGAAAGTCAATAAAATGTTGTTTGTATAATCCAAGGCTAGGAAAGGTCCTGTTTGATTTAAGCTCTCCATGGGAAACTCCTTGAGATCTATGCCAAGTAGAACACAGAGAAGAGGCTGCTATGTGAACAAATTTAAAGCAAAATGACATAACATGTGTAATGGTCACATACCTGGTAGAGTTCCATTTAAATATTCAAACCACTGCCTGATGGTGGAGTCTCCATACAGGTGGATCCTTTTGTTTTTCAGGCACTGACTGATTTCTGTGGCGGTGTTAAACTGGTGAACAGTGGTGCCATCCAGTGCTCGCCAAACACCGAGGTAGTAATAACCCGCAGGCCCATTTGAGACAGCATTTCTCACTTCACCAGGATAGTCCAAAAAGTAGTTGAAAGCTGAATAAAATAAAATAAAATACATATAATGCTGAGTTATTATTAACACTCTTAAAAAAATTAGATGTTCATCCTATCAAATAACTGTTTTCTTGTAGAAACTATTTACCATACACCAAATTTAGGTTGTTAAATGTGTAAATATAAGGGTTATTGCAAATCTATAACCTAATGATCAATATGTGTAATGACACTTAAAATATAACTTCACCTGATTCATAAAAGTCATCCTTTTTCTTCAGAACTGGAAAGAGAAAGAGGTTGGAAGTTAGTGAGATTGATTAGGTTCTTATGCAAGTTGTACTTTTTTAATTGAGAACAAATTTTCTAAAGGGTATAAACAAGGAGATCAGTAGATAATTATTTTTTTTTTTTTATCTCGGCCATTCATAGCCTGCCTTTGTCCTGCATAGCCTGGCATATCTAATCATTGTTGTTTACAGTTAGTGTTAAAATTATTATACCTTGGATGTGTGCAGGTCCTGAGGCTGGAATGGGCACCTTCAAGTTGACACCACTAACACAAAGAGCACAAAAATATATAACACACTTTTAATTCAATGAACCAAGTGATCAATCGAAAGTTTCCTTTTTTTGCACGAGACAGACTGCAGGTTGTAAACAGGGTTGCAAAAATCACCAAATGATGTCAAAATACCTCTAATATGATATGGTATATACACTCGATTTGTAGTGCCACATTTTTTTCTGCGGTATTTGAAGCTAACCATGTGCTGCAGGCTGGATTGTCATGAGATCTGAGTTTTCAGTCTCACAATAAATCCATTTTGAAAGACTGCCCCTAATACATCCGTCTCGTAACAACCAGCAAGTCGGACCAATGCCATGCCTGCAGAGTTTTTTGGGGCGGGGCATGTAGGAATGATAACAGTTATAAGGGCCTTGCCGGGGCCTAACAAACATGGCTACGCTGGAGGACTCATCTGTCGATACTGCAATTGACACGGTTTTAGCTAAAATAGCAAGAATTTCGCTGCGATTGGCTGAAAGTGTATAATGGAAGGCGGGTACTAGCTGGCACGTCACCCAATCAGCTCGAAGTGTAATTTTAAATAGAGGATTTTATGATTAAGAAAGAAAATATTGAAACCTACATTGCCTTGTGTGAAAAGGGATTCCCCCTAACCCTAATAGCTAGTACTGTAATCTAGGGTTTGTGATAACTTGAAATTAGTATTTCACTTTGCTGTTGAGGATTTTGGCAAAATCGTCTTTGTAGAACTGTGGTATTTCAGGTTCATTTCACAGTTTTAGGTCATGCTACATTACCATTTCAAGTAGGACTGACGAGGTTACTTCAGAATCTTTGTTTTTGTCAGGAATCCAGTTTTTGTTGGTTGTTTCTGTGTTTCCTTTTTTCCACCACCAGGAGGCGCCTTGCTCCGGTTCGCCTCCTCACGCACAAGCGATTGCCTCATCACTGGACTGCTCTTAAGCTGCTGGTTGTCACTACTTCGGGGCCAGAGTGTTTGCCAGTTTGGGGTACTCTAGCCAAGCCTTGTTTATGCTGAGTCTAATCTGAGTTTTTTTGCATTTTGAGTTATTGTCCTCTTGCCAAGCCAAGCTGAGATCAGTTTTTTACGGAGTGCTTGTTTCTCCCTGAGTCTCCACTTTGTTTGTTCTTTGCCTTTCGGCAGGAAGCCTTCCTTCAAACTGGACCTTTTCGGACCGCCTTCTCCCAAGTGGGATCAACTGAGTCTTACACTGAATGACGGATTCCAAACAGGAGGTTTGGATCCAGCCTCCTTTGAGCACGCTGAGATCACTCTCTGAGTAAGGAAGTCATCTTCACCACCACCCGTTCAAGTACCACAGGAAATCTGAGTTGCAACCAGCGGCTACATCATTCCACTCCGTCCGAGTTCTGGGTAAACCCTGTTCCGCCCTCCACCAAATCAAACAAACCCTGAAAGACCAACACACACAGACTGGAGTCTACGTGTCTCCTCTTCTCTGGAAACTCTTCCGGCCGAGCAGAGTTCGGAGAAACTCTGCACCAAACGCTAAATACCTTTCAATAAAACCCGTTCAAACTTTTACTCTGTGTCTCTGTGTTTGGCTTCACTGCATGTGGGTCCGAGCTTTAGATAAAATCATGACAGTTTTGTTTTTCTTCACTGAGTGTTGATTTTCTTCAGCCATTCAGAGGTGGATCTGGAGGTGTGTTTGGGCTCCTTATCCTGATTCAGAACCTAGTTTGATTTCAGCCTAAGATCACAACCAGATGGCATTGTCCTTTGGATGCAGAATTCTTGGTTTCATTTAACATACTCTAGCAGGTCTTCCTGGTCATGGGGCAGCAGAACAGCCCCATGTCATCAAGCAACAACCACCATATGTTGCTGTTGATATGATGTTCCTTTCATGAAGTGCAATTTTCATGCCAGATGTAATGGGACACACACCTTCGAAAAAGTTCAACTTCTGTCAGTCTACAGATTTTTCTTCCAGGAGTCTTGGGGATCATCAAGATGTGTTATGAAGAAAAAAATGACTTAAGACCTAACGTTTTTGGCTCTGCAGAGGTTGGAACTCTATATATATTTAGTTCTACATGGCATATAGAACTACAATCTTTTGCACAGGGTGCGAGTAGTCGCTCGCACAGGGCAGAATGTAAGGAGGCTCTAAAGGACAGTTTTGAGTCTACTAAGTGGAAAGTGTTTTTAGATGCTGATGGGGATGAAACAAACTTCTTCTGACCTGTATTTTAGACTTCATTAACTTTATGTGTGGATAAGATAGTACACACCAAAACTTTATGGTGTTTCCTGAACATAAACCATGAATTGCTTCTGAATATGAACCCATGTTTATGCAGAAAAAAAAAATGGCATTCATATGAGGAGAATATAGGAGCTGAAAAGGATGGATGGTGAGACAAAAAGACTGCTCACAGATTGGAAAGGCAGCTCCAGGCAGAGACCTGAGAACCAGCTATAAAAGAAAAATGTCTTTGGAGTCTGAAGAGGCTTTATTACCATCGCAGGCTACAAAAAACAGAGCTCTCTGGCAATAGGAGATGTAAGGTGGGCAAATAATGTTTTCAAAAGGTTTGACTAAGCTGCCTCTGCTTTTCCATCTACACATCCCACTTCTATGCAGTCTTAAAATCTGCTATAGTTCCCCCACCTTCATCTTCTGTTCCACCTCAGATGCCTCTTGGTTGTCTATCTCACCCATCCAAGTTGGAAGGGAACTTAGGAGGATGAAAGTCAGGAGAGGTCCAGACGGCACCAGCTCAAGCAATATCAGGCTCTGTGCAGGTCAACTGTGTGGAGTGATTGTGCACATCTTTAACCACACGAGACTGAAGATTTTGGAGCCAAAAAGATTCTTCTACAACTTTCCTAAAATTTTTTGCCTTTTGTTTATGAAAGCCAAATATTACACAATTTAGCCTCACCCTAAGTCTTTTTTGTGCAGGGGGTTACCAAAAGTTGTTAATAATCTAAAAAACACAAAACCTCTAAGTATTTTCATTTGGTTGTGTGTTTGTGCAGAGCTTTATTTATGATTTTAAATCTACACTCACATTTGAAAGAGCTCCTCCTCCATTGGCTGTAGGTTTTGTATGAATCCTCCTTTGGAGTGGGTGATCCTAGCATTGCAACTTATATTCTTTGGCTTGTAGCAGAACCAGGGTTCACCCGTGATGGGATCAGAGTAGTTGCACAGCCTGTGAGGTTTATTAAGGCATATGTTACAGATCGTGGATTTATTCACCGAACCCTGACGGAAGAGGCTACGGAAATAGATTCTGTCAGGCTGCTCCTGGGTCAGTTTTTCTAGCACCACAATTCCCTCACTAGGGTGGACCAAGATCACCTGGGAGGACAAGAGATAATACCAATTATTTCCAAAATAGTTAATATATCAGACTTTACAGCACAATCAAAAGAAGTGTTTTATCTCATGCTGAATCTTAGGGGTTTTTTCGCATTTCAAGTTATGGTTGTTTCAAACCAGTTAACTTTACTATCGGTAAGACAAGTGAATCAAGTTTACAACTTATCTATAGTAATATGATTATTATGTTCAGTTTATGTTAAAAAAGTAGATATTACAAAACTTCATATTTATCCTTATAGGCAAACTTATAACACAGGTCTAACACTGAAAGGGACTCATTTTGAGCAATATAACCCAGAAGAAAGTGAGGCAGTTGTGGTGTTGTGTCACTAGAGAGCAGTGTAACCCTGCGTAATAAGCCAAGTTTCTGGGTTCATGCTGGTTTAATTCTGGTTTCTGTTCCTCTAAATGACCTTAGTGTTTCATGTGTGTCGTATTTTGTGAAATATGATTGGAGTGTCTAAATGTATAGAGCCTGATTTGTAATTGGCATTTAACAATTTAACATTTTTTATGCCCTGTATTAAAGGTAATTATCAGTACCGGTTTCTGTTATGTTGAAAGCACATGTCAAATATCATATTTAAGAGCTGGTTAATGAGGAAAGTAAGTGAAGCTATCAGGTTTACTTTCAGTTGAATCTCTGAAAATGCTGAGGTGAATGAGCAGCAGGGTATTGTGTTAACAGAGTTGTAACTATGTCACTGCCTGGGGCCATTTTTTTTTCACAATTACCACTCATAGACTTAGACCCTGTATGGAGCACCTATGATTTCTACATACACAGTATATACAAACCACAGGGTTCAAACTAAGGATTTTAACAAGTCCAAACAGTCCATGGTACCCTAGATTAAAGGCTAAATCAGACAATTTCCCTTTATAGTTAAGATGACATAGACACATTGTTACAAGTCTAGCATTACCTCAACCTCTGCACGTCCTTCCCAGAGCAAAGAAAATATAGCAGAATAGGTGCCGTTGCGATGATCCAACACCTTTCCTGCCACACCTGCATCAAGAATAGGGTTGTGCAGTCGAACTAGCAGGAAGTCTCCACCAAACTCCTTAGGGCGACCATAGAAGTCATACATCTTAATCAAAACCTCCAGCTGATCTCCTACATGCCAACTTCTCCATCCATTAGGTGGCAGAATGGTGAAGCTGCTCCGAGCTGGATCACTGGTGTCATACAGGAAGAAGAAAGATGCTAAATCTGGTCCTTTGGGCCAGATAATTAATTGTTTTAGTAAATCTGCCAGATGAGCCTCCTTTGGTGGTAGTGAATGGAAGGAGCAGCTGTGTTTAGCAATACTGTTGGGGGTCTGAAAACAACAAGAACATTCAAATAAATTCAAATAAATTATGCATTATTTACATACTGAGATAATGGGGAGAAAGAAAATGGAATGTCATTGTTTTGAACAGGACTACTCACCTTGACTACTTCATATGTTGTTAAATATGTGACCCAGTTACTGTACAGCAGCAGAATAATGATACTCAAAACCAAGGTGAGGTAGAAAGGTCGGAACTTTGGACTGCAAATACGTCTGAAAGCTCTTGATCTCATTATCAGGGATGTCTTTTTGATCCTTGATTAAAATGTAAAGGAAGAAAAGAGAAAATCGGTTAATTTTATATTAAAAACATTCTGATAAAAATTATTTTTGCATTCTTCTTATGTTAGTCTATGTCAGTGATTCCCGACCGGGGGTACTTGTACCCCTAGTGGCTGCAAGTGCATTGCAAGGGGTGCAAAATAAAATTGGGCTGGGATCTGCTTTGCTTTGTGAGGCCCAATTGAAAAATTAAACAAGCTTTTATCAACCAAAAAATATGTTTTTCTTATATTTGTGAATTCAGCTTCAGCTGTGACATACGTACAAACCAAGCAGAGTAACAGACTGGACTGATGAACAGCCTAGTATCTGATGTTTTTCACACTGAGCTATCGGAGCTCATCAAAGCAGCTCAGGTGTATTGATGAAAACAGAGTATAACTAATTAAGTCAGTCTGACAATAAGTTTTGTTCTGTATTTTGTTTCCATTTCATCTAGTTTAAAAGTGATTATAAGGGAATTTCTCAGAGGAGCTCCAGTTTTATAATATTATATTTTGTATTAATTTCGATTCCATACTAACACGCAACATATTTGTGTTGTTTTTTTATTTGAAATGGAAAGCATAAAATGCCAAAGAATCAAATGCTTAAATGAAAAGATCAAGCAAAATAGTTTTTAATTTTAAAATCATGTATTGTACGTTCCACTTTTGGACAGTCATCAATACTTTTGACTGAGAGGGAGACTCATGGTAAGAAAAAATGCCCAAAGGGTTACATAAGTTAGAAAAGATTAGGAAACACTGATCTAAGTTACCCTTTTTTAAGTGGCTTATTATTTATTTCAGCCTTACAAATCAAAATTACTGTTTCTTTATCTGCTTCTTTATCAGGTTTATTACAAAAAGAGAGAAAAAAAAAGCTAAAATAAAAATACTATGTTTTTCTTGAAGTGTTTAGCTAAGTTTGGCCTGTATAGAACTAGGCTCCAGACAGATTTTATTTATAGGAGGTGGTTTTTAGGTTTGGCATAGGTATTACAAATATGTTTTCTTTATTAATCATTGAGCCTTGTGATGAACACTAAAAAATATGTAAAAAAAAAAAAAAATCTTCCTAGAATCTCCCAAAGGTTTCATAAGATTCTGGTTATTATTGTTAGACAGATGCCTAAATCATTCGTGATTTATATACACAAAAAACCTTATGATGTGTAGATAAAAGCCAATGCTATAAAACTTTGGTAGGATGTAGCAAAAGTTATTTTGGATTTTGGTAAACCTTCGGGAACCATAAGTCATCATCTTGACAAAGTTTTTTTTTACTATAGATGTATCATTATATTCATCTACTGTTCCTTTAGGACTCCGCAATTTTCTACATGAAGCTATTTTCTTAAAAAACATCCTGTTTAATAACAGGTTACATTTGTTTAAAACCATCCTGACAGATAAACCAACAATAGGCATCATTGTGGAAAAGCTATTGTTGACCATTACCTAATCATGACCTAGAGGCCATGTCATGTTTGCTTTTGCATACATTTGATATTCCATTTTATGAAATGTTTGAAGTGATAAATACCTTTTTTTGTGCTGCTAGCTCAACATTTCCTGTATTTAAACCGGGAAGAATACAGAAATATGGTTTGTATCTTTGGAAGGTAAGATAAAGAGTTTTTGTAACCTCTTCCCATCCTGTTCTCCGTTGCCTCTATTTCAATGGTGTTCAGTTTCTTAGTCCCAGCCAGGCTGGATCACTACCTGACTTTAAGCACTCGTAAATAACTTAAGCAGTAACTGCTTCACAACATGAAGTAGGCTGAAACACTTGAAAGACTAACGGATCCTGCTTGAAAAAAAAGGGCTACAAGATCAGATTAAATAAAGTTATCATGCAGGAAATGGTTAAAAATGCATTTTTAGGACTTTGAAAGCATCTTTCATGAAATACAGCTATAGTTGTTTTCATAGTGCAAGTAAATCTTCTCAGGTGTTTACATTATGTTAAAGAAGAACATTACGTTTTTTACCTGAAGCTTGTGAGGAAATGTTGTCAAAAAGGGAACACGACCATTTGCTGCATAGATAACCCCCCTCTAAGCATTTAAAAATATATCAAACGTCTTATGACATGATTTAAGAGGAGCAGTCGTCTTGTAGCCTCTAGTCTTCTTCTGCAACTTTTCTGTCAGCCTGTTCTGTCTGCTCTTATACCGTGTACTTCCTGCTGCCTTACAGGTCGGACTGCATTCCTTTAAAAAGTCGGTTATTTGCAAAAGCACCGCTCATTTACATTGCAACATTACATGTCAAAATGCCGAGCATGATAATAACATAAAACCAGAATACACAAAACAATTTCGACCACAGATTTAAATTGATGAGGTTTCAGTGATCAATTTAAATAAAACAATCAAAGATAAGTCTAAATAAATGTGTTTAACCTTGAGTTGAATAATGTAAGTTTTAAGTGTTTTTTTTATTTCCTTTAAGTTTGTTTCAGATTAGTGGAATGTTTCAAATTGAATGCTGCTGATTCTGAGGATATGGATCTGAACTCAATGCTATTTCTGACATTTTGAATTGAAAAAGCTTCCTGGATGGGAAGCAAAAGCTCTTCAAACTTGGAAAAAAAGTTGGATTGTTTAACTTTTTTGGAATGACTATGACGTGAATGACTGAGAATCTTTAACAGATAACCCGAGTGGTCTGGGAGGCTGATACAGTCACAACAACCCTTAACATAATTTCTCTTAAATGGTGCCACATTTGTAAGAAAATGCCTTTGTAGGTTGAGTAGCAGAGATGAAGATGTGGATCGTGACATTTGAAAACTATTGAAATTCTTTTTGCCAAATCAAAGTTTTACTAGGAGGTAAAGATGAAATATACTGGTTCTCTGCTCTGTTTCACGAAGAATTGCTGTCCTACCATGAGTAGAAAATATTTTTTGAGTATTTCTACCCTCTCTTCCCTACTCAAGGGTCAGAAATGGGGATTTCAGATGTGTAAGTTAACTCAAGAATCTAACCAACTGTCAGTTTAGTGCTTGCTGAAAATATTGAAATGTCAATATTGAAGCAAATTTAAAAAGATATTCCTCTGTAGATGATTAAAAAAAAAACTAACCGCTGTGTAACCACTCCATCCTGATGGGTATATCTAATGAGTATTTGCACTTTGCCCACAGCAGGTTCTTCCAGAAACTGACACGCCTTTTCTGACACTTCCTTGTGCAGATATTGGCTGAGAAGTAGGATGAGAAATTTCAAACAACCCTGACAGAGAGGGGTTGTTTCAGGATGTAATTTTAGATTTTTATCTTTTCCGGGTGGCTGTTTCATAGCTTTCTGAAACAGAAAAACTAAAATGTATAAAATGATTTATCAAAGAAGAAATTGATAAAACTCTATATTACCACTAACTCTGCTTTGTGAAATGTGGCCCTGGAAACTAAAGACCATTCACTCGCATGTAACCTTACCTCAGAACTGGAATCACGCTTTGCAACTGGATATGAAATGCCATAAATATTTCCCTTATTGCCAGTTATCAGATTCAATATCAGTATTATGTACAGTGTATGATTTGTAGTTCAAAAAGGAAGATTATGTTTTTAAGTAGCTTTAATTTTCCTCAACTTCCTTACATTTAGAGAGTATAAAGCAGTAATTTCTTACTCTCAGACATCCTTTTTTATTTTTATCTTTTGCCATTTATGGGATTAATTAGTTCTTTTAATTCTGCATGTCATGACTATTCACATATGGTGTAGCTGAAACACTGTTTTTTTTATGGTAAACAGTGGACAGCACTACAGATAAATCAGCATGAACTCGTAGACAGAAGGTGTCCTATCCTAACACATGTCTCACTACAACGATTTACTGTTTTAAATCTAGGATATATGTGACCAGCCAGACGGCCCTATAACATCAACAAATGTGCACATCATTTGAGTTTTCTTGTACATGGACAGTTATGGGCTGCGTCCGAACCTCCGTTCTAACCTCTAAATCTCTCAATCACTATATAAAGTGGGGCGTATAGTGGTCTTTATAGTGACCTCAGTCAACTGACGAAGATGATCCCTTCTTTTCGCTCTCTGTTGGTCACGTAACTCCGCCTCCACCACGCTGTGCCTACGCCATCTTTATTTGTTGCTGCTGTTGGGTAACGACAGCCATGGAAGACAGCGGGTCGCTGTGACAATAAATCCTATGATGCTTTGTAAGGAGAGCCCTCCTCGCCAAGCATTCCGGGATATATATCTGCTCGTCTAATGACCATGGATTATTATTTCTTTTTGAGGTGCATTGTGGGAAATTTCGACTCCACTACTTTTTCATCCGCTAGACATTCAAACACTCATCTAAAATGGCTTAACCACTTTAGAGTGGCCTATATAGTGTCGCAGCTACCTGACAATCTATATAGGGCGCTATATAGTGTTAGAGTCCCCTTTATAGTGGTAAGGGCAGATTTTTGGACACAGCCATGGTGACCCAAAGTCATTTTGGTCTTTGTTTTTTATACTCTCATCGAGCATATTTTAATGCCAGGTGTAGTAACCTGTCAATTGCCCTGAGTGAATCAGCTTCCAGAGATGGCTAATGATTCACTATGCCTCTGCCCTGCTGACAGGGTTGATAGTTTTTGTTGAAGGTGATGCTTTGATTTTATTTAATATCTCTCTAACTGGAAAATTTAGGCTTCATTGGAACAATCTAAAAACGTTATTATAATACGGCCCTGTAACTTTCAGATACCCATTTCAGCAGTTGAGGACCATGTAATGTTTATTTTAGTTGTAAGAACTGCTCCCAGCAGAGCAATGAAAATCAACTAACGGCATTTTGGACAAGATGGGATGCCCTCAACACTTGTAGGATGAGCGTATTATCATAGCTCACAAAAGTTTAAGTTTCAGATGATTGCACTTACCTGATTTCCGTTGACCCCTTTATATTCATCTCTGTATTTTCTGCTCTGTTGTGGATTCATCTCTTATCATCATGCTCATCCCTGGTTCTTAAGATTCTTCGTCACAAGATCTGGCAATTGTTGGATCAGATTAAACTGTTTGTGTCATTGTAGCCAATAGATTTACACTGCAACAAATGCAAACTGAACTATAGGATAAAATTGCATTAAGGTGAGATCCAGCAAAACCAAACAAGAATCAACAGCAGAATGAGCTAATTCATATTTAGGAGGGAAGAGTTGGAAAGATTTACATGATGGCAATAAAAAGAGATATACTTTTTTCTTCATCTTAATTCAGGTGCTTATGGCTTTTAACTGTGAAAAACAAACAAATCTATCTCTTTCAAAATATAGGAAAAAAAGAATGTAAAAAAATAAATATATAAGTTCAAGGACTCATATACACCACAACACACTAGAGCTGTCCTCATCTGTTATTAATATCAGATATTTGTCCAAAAATATTTTAAAAAGATTATGCCGGATTTTATCGGCAAGCATCTAACATCTCAGAAATTTTCATGCAGATGGAAGCACTCTGCTACTGTTAGTAATGTTACTTGAACAAGCATTTTCTAATATTCTACAGTATACGGAAAGTAAAAAAAAAAAAAAAAAAGAAGCTTATATGAGTTGATCTAATATTGTATCGAGTCATATTGGTATCAGCAAATTCTCAAGGCTGCAATATCGCATCGGAAAAGAAAAAGCTGTATCTAGACACCCCTGCCAAATACCACAAAGACTACAACTCTAAAATATTTATTCTATTATATCATGTAAGCTTTCGGAGTCAGTGGTGTGTGGAAGAGAAGAAAGGAGTGTTTAGGTTTATAACAGACTATATTATAGAGCTTACAGTTCAGTGTATGTTGTCCAGGTCTGGGGAGAAATCCGGAGGATGATCACTGTTGAGAGTGAAGAGCCAGTTAAGAGAATAACATTGTAAGCCCAGAGGGTTTGGTGTATGAATTTCTACCTGAAAGCACAAAAAATAAAATAAATAGCTCAATGCCTATCCAGACTTAATGCATGTTTTTGATATGGTAGCTTTGTAAAGGTAAAAGCTAAAAGTTAATTGTTTTCAGTTTAATGTGTGGCCTAAGCCTCTGATGGGAGAAATTAACCACACACTGTGCCCAGGGAGCAGTGTGGGGTTAATGGTCTTGCTCAGGGACCCAGAGGACAGGCTGTGGGAATCAAACCGGGTACTTGCCCCCTTCTCAAAGCACAAGCGCACTGCTCTAACCCACTAGACCAACACTTCCCCAAGCATTAAAATAAATACAGTCTACTACAATGGCATAGACAGTCAGCAGATCTCTGTCGAGTAGATAATTTTTGAGATGTGGTAGAAAAGAGATTTATTGAGTGGAAGTGGAGATGACAAAATCTGTAGGACCTGTGTGATACATTGTGTCAATATGAATTAAAACTTTCAAGGAACGTTTTAGACACTTGAATCAATCTAACCCCCGAAGACTCAACAAGGTTCTGGAGGCATTGCGACTTTTTGTAAAGTATAGTAAAATGTTCATGGATGTATGGCTGTGTGGGTTTACCTTCGTGGGACTGCAGGTGGTGCTGTTTACAGCAGATTCAAAGCTAAACTTCATCCTACCTCAATTAATAGACATGAACATGTCCGAACATTTGTTATAATCTCTTGTCTCACTGGGCCATGGCAATTTGATGTTATTCATAAAAGAAAAGTTAACCCACATTCCAAAAACACAAAAAAGGGCTTGAAAACCTTCCAAGTTTAACATGAGATTACTGAACAGCTAAAAACAGCAAAGTCAACAAACTCATATGCAGCTGTGCCTGTTAATGTGGAGCAATATAAAATATGGTTGCAGTCTGTTTTAGCCTGTCAAACAAACCTGGGCTATTCCCCTGAGCTGAAGGTGCCCGGCAATGAACCAAAAGAGTCAAGAGCCAAAAAATTTTACAATGCATACTTGTGTTTTTCTTTGCTTTTTTTATTTAACCCTGTAATTGTGAAATATAGGTGGAAATGGGGCCTTTATCATGAAATAAAACTGGTTTCTCTTAGAAAGATTAAAGCCTATTCTAAATTTCCTGTGATTGTTTTACTCTGCAGAAAGAGACTGAAAGTAAATAACATAATTGAAAATAGAGAGTACACAAAAGAAAATACATCTAGAATGTAAGGATACAATTGAACATTAAGGAAATATATTGTTTTAATTATATTAAATGTTATTAATATAATTAAAAAGGATGCTTGAAGATTAATCTTGTCAAACAAGTGAGTGAATTTAAGTGAGAAACCAAGAGATGGTTTAGACAGGCGTCCACGAAGTTGTCCCAGGCGGAAAAACACTTCAGGCGGTAGGATAAGCAGCGTCTTTCGAGTTAAGTGATGTGAAGACAAAGTCCTGACAGCAAGCAATTGTGGAAGGAGAAGGTGAAGAGCTACTGACACTGAAATTGGGGTTGGCAAATATGGTGTATGTGTTCTTAAGCCTAGCATTTTCAGGCTCCAAGACAGCCACAGAATCAGAGGCTGAAGTTGACAGGGCTTGGGTTGAGCTGTAGAGGCTTGGGTTATGACTGAAACTTGGAAGGCTTAGATTTCCCCTGGAAACTTGGAAGGATCCAGTATGCCTGAATCCTTGTTGGAGCCAAGGAGTGAGGCGTAGAAGCCTACAGGATCCTAAGTAGAACTCTGGGTGTGTCCACCTAGACAGCCACAGCCACCAGGAATGATACAAGATGCATTGGATGGACCCCTAAGGGGGTCGTGGAGACCCCTTAGAGACAGCTGGTGCAGCATCCAGAAGACTCTCTAAGACTGGAGCACAGCGCAAACCTTAACAAGAAAAAGCTGCTGAGGACATGGAGTGTTCAGCTGCTGTGCAAGGCTTAAATACCGCTGTAGCCTTGTGCCCCCGCTTGTGACATAAGCATGCAGCAGCGGCAGGCACCCAGCCAGCATCAGCAAAGTCAGCATGAACTAATGCTGAGACATCTAATGGACCTTTGGAGACTGGACTAGCAGAAAGAACAAAGTTAATTGAAGTGGAAAAGACTTTGAGCTGCGGGTGAGGTGATGGTAGATTTTTTACCAACACTGTCAGGAGGTCCCATTCTGTCTGCTTTAACAGCCACACAAGGCCCAAAGAAGGAAGCAGGGCGTGTTACTTCATGAACACTTTGACATGCTTTCATGGAAGGCTACATAATCCGATTCTGTTTCTGTCATTTTGATATAAACCTCTTTAGTAAAGAGCCTGCTGAGTTCTTGTGACTGGAATCGTCTGTCATATGGAGGTAGAAAAGGACATAAAAGAAGATTGTGACCGTTTGTTTTTTTTGTTGTTGTTGCATATACTCACAATGCCTCATATTTTAGTCAGAACAGGATGCACCAGTGATAGTTTTTTTATTTGCACCAGTTTGAACCCCAAACAGCCTTTAACAGCCAAAGAGCCAGGGCTCAAATTAAAATGCTTGATGTGAATGTATCCCAACAAATATTTGGGTTCATCCATCCTGCAAGGAAAGAGTGATCTAAATGATGTTCCTGCTGCTAAGAATAGACAACATAACCTTTTCTAAAAATAAGAAAAAACAAAAATCCAGAGAAAAATGTAGCTAATTGTGTGCCTTTCTTTATGTACAGCCTATGTGAAAACTTTAAAAATATTGATTCTACAACAATTCATATGTCAGTAAAAAAAAATACTGCTGTTCTTTCAGAATTTGCAGGCTAGTTGATTAAGCACGGGGACGTTAGAGTTTGTTTTCCTTTATTTATTCAGCAGTTTTTATCTTTTGTTTATTTTGCTGTCTAAAGGGTCTCTTCAGCTCCCCCAGCTGGCAGATGTTGGGACAGCACTTGATTAGACGGATTAGGCATTTGTTTTATTACCAATAACACATAATATTGTATTGGACAGCTTATACTTTCTATGCTTTAGGAAAGGGGTTTCACTACACTAGTGGTGATTCTAGATTAAATTTACCAAGGGGGCCAAGGTGTGGCCAGCTTTGTTTTATGATGGCACAGAACAAAAGAACACAAACACAGAAAAACATGGCAAAAGTGCATCGTTTAGCATATTAAAAGAGCCATGGGGCCAAGATTGCAGACCCCTGATAAAACAGATAAAAACATTGATCCCATCTAAATATACCTGGAGCTTAAAGCTGACTGTAAATTTTAATTAATTGATAAACTGAAATGTAAAGTTGAAATATTCAATTGGTCCAAGGGATTAGTCATTTAAGTCATCTTCTGTCAGCACATACAATATTTTCATAAGGAATTGACTTAATATTTCACTGCAAAGGCTGATAAAAAGGGATTTTAAAAGTTCTCAAAATAAGAGTATTTGCCTTTAATTTAAAGAGGTAGATAAGATAATCTGCCGAATAAATTTGTGCTTTTGCCCTTATAAGATAATTAGATATATTGCTCTTGGGATAAGATAATTACGTTTTTTTTCCCTCTTATTTCAAATTTAAAAAATCACATTCTTTTGAAAACTTGTATCTTGTGCTTAAATAAAGGGAAAATACATTTAAAAAAAATGACTTACTCAGATTTCAATATTTGCAGTGTATGTTTTCGGCATAGGAGCCAATTGTTGTTCCACAGGGGCCCCTGTCTAGAACCGCCCCTGCTTCATGACACAGACAATCATGGTTAAAACCTTTGTTTCTGCACATCAATAGCCAGTCACCAGAGGTGTAGCCAGAATTTTTTTATAAGGGTGACCAGGCAAAAACCAATGTACAATGAGGGGTGGCTGAAAGCGGATAGGCACCAGAACCTCTCGGTCAATCTACTCTGTTCCAACAGGAAAATTAACGAGCAAAACATCCATATTTTCTAAACAAACTATACTTTCCTACAGCCTTTACTAACAAATAGACGCATATATTTACCCATCCGTAATTTCTAGATAAATGGTTTAGTGGACAAAACTCTTTCAGTTTTGAGCTCTGGGGTGTAAATCTTTTCCATTACCTACTTGTATCAATAAACATTCTGCATAAAACATCTTTACAATCACTAATATCTACATAAATTGATGATTTGATAAGTTCTGTATTTATCATCTTTGATGTTAGTTTATTGATGTGCATGATTAACCACAATAAATTATTATTTTTTTAATATTCCACTTGAGAGTATCACTGCTGCCACCATCTGTATTAGAGGGGGGAAAATGGTAGGGGTGGCTAAAGATTGGTTAAGGGTGGCCAAGGCCACCCCTGGCCCCCCATCTAGCTCCTCCCCTGGTTGGGCATACCCTAATAAAAAATAAAATAAAAAAAACAATGAATCAAAATCTGAAATGTGCGCCCTAGTGATTACATTTTTCGTGTTGCTCCTCTGAGTAAAAACAGGGACGAACCTTCATAAGTGAGTAAGCACTTTAGTGAAAACACCGAAAAACGAAAGCAAGTTATTCCTTCAAAAGAAAATAGAATTTCTCCTTTACTCACTTCTGTGTTGCCTTACTAAGACTTTCAAATGTGATTTCCAACAAATAAAAACAAATATCCTCGCCAGCCTGCAATCTTGTCACTGCGACACTGCATGGAGCAGCCACGCCTGCGGCGCTCACGTAACATCCGAGAGCACACGAGCTCAGCTGGCCCGCGGGACTAAAGGTGAACTCATATCCGAGCTTTGTGTTTGCAGTGGTAGGAGTTCTATGGGGTTCCATTTGTGTCACAAATAAGCAGTAGGTGCGGCAGCGGTGCCGCGCGCGGAGAAGCAGCGCGTAATGTTGGAGCGCCCAGGAGAAAGATGCTGGATCATGACGCGGCGGCCGACATGCGACTGGTCCAGCAGATAAGCGCAGGGATGAAGATCCAGGACGTCGGCTGCAGAGAGGTTGGAGACGGGCAGGACAGCCAGGTCGTGTGTTTGCAATGCCAGGATGAGGTGGTGCGGGTCTGTCCGCGCAGTCCGCGCCGCGGCTTCGCGACGCGCCTCTCCTCTGGATCCGCAGGTGAAAAAGCATCCTGTGCAGCATCCAGACTTAGACATGTGCCATGTGTAGTTTTTTTTTAAAACATAATATGACAAAAAAAACAAGCAAACTGAAGCTGTAATAAAAGTAGTGATAAGTTTTATCTATTTGAAAATCAACTTCAAATCGACTTCTTGCGCTCAAATGTCCAAACGTCTCGACTGTAGACTGCATTTTCATACCAGTTTCTTTTCTCTGGTGCAATTTGTTTATTATGTGATCAATTATGAATGTTGTTCCAGAGTCCACCTGCAGACTTCCAATAGCTTTGGAAATAAATTACATTTGCAGATGTGTTCTCTCTTAAAATGGAACCAAATGTAATCATCTGTGGTTGATGTGATCCACTTAGTAATGAAATCAGTCTCTGTCCGGCTGTTTTTTTTTATGTTGCCATGCAGCTGTTTGTGTACAATTAAACAATAAGAACAGAAAAGTTTTTTGCAAGGTTCTTTTTAATAATTTGAAGAAGCAAAAAGCTAAAATCTTGGCAGTTATTTTAATTTAGTAACTGACCAAATTTTCATTGGTGAAAAACCTAAAACAGAGTTTAGGACATTTTGAAAACCTGTCCGAGGGTCAAATTTTAACTTACCAAACCCTCGGTGGATTTAAATGAACTCTACTAGGGTAAGGTTAAGACATTTTTCAATATTTGGCTATAAAGTACATTGGAATAATGCAATTTAAATAAGAATGAACACCAAAAGAAGTCATTTAAGTGTTGTTCAATTTGTCAAAAATAAAATAAAAAGTATTTTTTGCGGCGTTCACGATCAATGGTTGTGTGAACTACATACATAAAAATAAAGAGGTTTTCAATAATTTCAAATAATCTTAATTATAGGGGCAATTTTTCATTATTGGATCACTATGGATAGAATTTTTTTTTTTAAAGTTTTATAAAAAGGAGAAACATTTCTTGTTGCTCCTTGGGTCCAGAGAAGATTGTACTGATTGGAGGGTGGACAGGCAGACTAGTGATGGGTCCAGAGGAGCAACGGAGCGGACTGTCACAGGATTTTCCAGTGGTGGGCTTGAACGGATCAGGTGAAGGTTTCCCCTTGCTCAGAGAGACATGAATATTTCCTTCTAAGGGTGTAGAAGGACCAGGCTTATCCAGCAGATCAGAAGCGGTATCCTACCTGAGAAAACAAAGGAGAAAAAGGCAAACTTAGACTCAGAGAGACAAAGGCACAATGGTTAGACTCGGCTAATCTCAGATTGGCTAGAGTACCCAATACTGGCAAACACTCTGGCGTCGATGTAGTGACAGTCCCCTGCTCAAATACTCCTCTGGTGATGACCCAACGAGCCGCAGGTGTGGGAGAAAAACTGGAGACAACCCTCCAGGCCAAAACGGGCAAAGGGCACCATCTAGAGGTGGAAGGAGAAATTAAAAGAAAAACAAAAAAAACAAACCCCACAAGCAGGACTCTAACATTAGGTCCCTTATTTTCAATTGTATTTTTCACAGCTTTTGTTCTATGCATAAAATATATTTTATCTTGATTTATGCCCCCTTTAAAAAAAGAATAGGGTATAAATCACTTTCCCACATGGGTGTAGTATAAGAAATCTAGAAATAAATTTTTATTAAAGTAATCATCACTGGAGTATGGAGACTCTAAAATAAACCATTAGCTGAAAGAGCAACACGCTCAAACCAGTAATTAAACCAAAATTATTAAAAATTATTAACAATTTACACTCAAGATGAAAAACGTTTGTCTGTCAACATGTGCTATGTAGAGCACCTCTAGCTTCACCAGTTTAAATTCTGATAAAAAAAATTTTAAAGATCGCTTTTCCGTCAGATGACTAATTAAGTGATTGAAAAAAAAAAAGTTGAACAATTAAAAATACATTTTCAGTTCCACCCTGAGATGAAATACAAATGACAAGGATGAACTATAAAAACAGTTGCCATGAAAAACAGACTGGATGAATGCAGGAATCAGGAAGCTGAGAATGAGGGCAGTGAAGGAAGGTACTGTAAAGAGAGTCACCCCTACTGTTGAATATAAATGGACTCTTGTCCTTTTTACCCTCCTACTTAAAAAAAAAATGTTTGATCAAAACTACTCAGTATCTCTACCAACAGTGTAAACCTAACAGTTGTGCTAAAGGGGCAATGTTGCGCACGTTTGCCTTCTTGTCCCAAGGCACATTGTTTACTGCTGCCCCCCTGATAGCTGGTGTCCCACATAAGATCTGTAACTTGGAGGTCATTTTTCTCATTGACCGTGAAATAAATTAATGATGCATTCTTTCTGCTTCTTATTGTAGACTAAACTTTCTCTGTAGGAGAAAATAAGGTTGCATGGAATTAAATGTTATGCTTTAGAATAATTAAGACAGAGATAGTAGATATGTCTGTAATGTTAGGTCATATAATGGAACATTTTTCCTGTAGCTGCTTAATTTTGGTAACAAAACAGGCCTCAAGTATTTAACTGCAATTGAAGTAACGTCTTACTTGTTGTGTAGCACATCCAGTAGAAAATGAGCTGCATAACATGTATATCAGCTTGGTAAAAGTTTACAATTTTACTTTCCCCAGAACTAGGGCTGCAACTATTAATTAGTTTGCTAATCTATTAATAATCGGATAGCAAAACGTTTTTTTTTAGGTGAAACAAAAATTTTCACTTCAGAACCCCTTAAAAAAATCATAATCGCAAGACATTTATTTATTTTACACTTTTAGTATAGTTACTGCCAAAAATACTGCCAGAATTAGAGGCCCCTTCATGTAATCTTGTAGGATCAGCAACATTAGGCAACAGTAAAATATTGAAGTTACTTTTGGACTTTTTATTTTTTTAACTTTTATTACAAAAGTATTGATTGTAAAACCAACTCATGCTTGTTTCTACAGAGGAAATCAATATGTTTTTCCCACTTATGTGCCTCTGCTCATCTCACAGACCGTGAACCCAGCAGCAGCAGCTATAATGTCTCTTCTGGAACTTTTTACAGCTGCGTGAGTCAGATCACCATCGGTAAGTCTGAGCAAACTTCTTTGGAAGAACAAAATCCTTTTAATGCTTTTCTGTCTGTGTACACATTCTGTAGTTTTGTGGAGGAGAGTGTTGTTGCGGAAGCTTTTTAATCTTCCAAAGTCTAAATGGGCTCCACGGCAGAGGTCATCACCTCACACAAAAGGCTAATTTCCCTCTAGACAGATTTACGATAACGCTGGAATTATTTTTCAGTACAAAAAAAATTACAAGAAAGGAATATTAGCCTAATAAAACAAAGACTGTTTTTTTTTCATTTTAAAGACTTAGTATATTGCTGCTATAAAGGGGAATTATGCACAACACACACAATCTGCTGTTGCATTTATTTTCTCGATATGACAAATCTAGACTCAAACCAAACATGTAAATAGAATGAAAACCTGTAAATAAAAAAATAATAATCTGTGTTAATTTGTTACCTTTTTCTTAGTAATGTTTTCGTCAGGGTTAAAACCTTCAGTCACATAACAAGATATCATATGGTTCATTCATTCAACAGTTGAATACGTTCAGATCTGGATTACATGAAACACAATCAACATAGAATCTAAATATCCCATTTGAACTATGCTACAGTTCTACAGTATATATTTGTCATCCATTAATCTTCTAGCGCTTGTCCATCAGGGTCACTGGATTTTTGTGCGACAACGGAGGTACATGAGGGCGAAAAAGAGCGGGGATCCGGGCAGAAAAAGGGTCCCAGTGTTCTCACGTACCTCCCTCTTCTAGTTCGTCCAACTTCACGACTTGTTTTTCACAAAGGCGCTCATACAAACAAAACAAGCCCGCAAGGTATCAAACAGGAAATATGCATAGTATAGAGTGGATGTAGATTTGACCAATCAGAGGCCTCCTGTCTGCTGCACTGTCTGCAGTCACCTACAATTTTGGAGAGGTGCACCAGAGTGTCTACAGAAATGGCGGAGACATAGCTGCGTTAACTGCGACATGCAGACAACCTGGTTTCTCAATATATATCTGCTTACTTGGCAATTTAGACATACCAATTCAATCCTGTTTTTGGACTGTGGGAGGAATTCAGAATACCTGGAGAGAATCCACATGGCCACGGGGAGATGTAAACTCCATGTAGAAAGACCCAAGCTGGGGATTTAAAAACGAAGCTTCCTGATGCAAGGCAGCATTGCTACAAACTGTGCCCCCTTTAGCACATATTTATAATTACATAGCTGTCAAGTCTTCCGTTTTGGCCGAGAAACTACCATATTTGTTCCCCTTTTTTCCCGCCTTTCTTCCATATTATTACTATCCCTTAAATTTCCCTTATTATAAAATTATATATCAAAAAATACATTGATCTGCCTCTCTAAATGGAACTATCACTAGCATTGCGAGTCATAAACTTATAACCTTATTGGAGTTGCCAATTGGTTGACAGCTGTTTATTTTAGATTTCTTGTCAACATGTCTTGAAATATATAGATAATGGAGCCTGACTTTGGTAGTTGGACGACTCGCAGTGGATGTCATAAAATGAACCTTATTTTTCAATCCAAACCATGGTAGGTATGTAATTTTTGCTTACACATTTCTTTTTCATTTTTTTATTTCAAAGAATTTTCTCCTTAAAGTTCATAGTAAATGTAATACACTGATTTTAGCTGGTAAAAGGATCCTCCCCTTGCTGATTGGCAGTGCACAGCCACCTATAGGAAAAAAGGGCCCCCACTGCACTACTTTATGCTCTATATACCGTCCGAGTTACCCATTTCATTAGAACTTCTAACTGCAGAAATGTAAATATTTAGGCTCAAGCCTTTTAGAATCGCTTTTATGGAAGGTAAAGGTTTTAGTTTGGACCGGGAACAATTGCATGCTTAATAATCACCAAAGATGTCAAGGTGAAATATTTTGTAAAATAATCTACAATTATTTATGTCTGTGTTTATTTTTTAGCCTCTGTCTTTCAGATTCTTTCTGCATTCTCTTATGCTTATGCCTTTTATGTAGATGCACTTTAGCTAGATGCCCTTTAGCTAGTGCGACTGGAAACACACAGTCTGGTAGTGTTTGCAGTTTGGTCGAGAAACAAAGTTAAGTTCAGACGAGGGATTTAACTCTCTTCTCTTTGTGTTGAATTCCTTATAAAATCTTAATGAGGTGCTGAGGAAGCGCTTTGGACTGCTGGGCCTCACTTTAGGTTTTTTTTACTTACAGGAACGATCTATACCCTTCTATCTGACATCAAATGAACCTTCTGTGATTTAGCAGTGGCTTTTGTCTTAAAAGGGGAGGGCAAGTCAAGATCAGTGTAGGCTCTTAAAAGTTCTAATGGATTCTAATCCTGGGCTCTTTTTCTTTTATAGGGATTTACTGCTGAGGGTCGGTGTTCCCCTGTTGGGTAAAACTTAGGAAAGGACAATATGGAAAGGATTTACATGAACATTGGTGATAAGTTTGAAGCACTTTGTTGTAATTCTACAGGACCAAGAACTTGGGTTGGATCCATGCTTTCCCTCTAGATTGTATACCTTCTGGCTCAAACCATTGAATTGCTCTTACTGGATGTTTGCTGCTGTTTTGCGCTATAGCTTAAAGTAAAACACAGAAAAGGCAAAAGTCTAGTTGATTTAGATGCTGAGTGTTCTAGGTTTCTAAAGCGTAGCTCAGTCAACTTTGTCACGATAACCCCAAATAAAATCAAGATAAATAGGGTCCATTCATTTAGTGTTCAATCTCATATACACTATATTGCCAAAAGTATTTGCTCACCCATCCAAATTATTGGAATCAGGTGTTCCAATCACTTCCATGGCCACAGGTGTATAAATTCAAGCACCTAGGCATGCAGACTGTTTTTACAAACATTTGTGAAAGAATGGGTCGCTCTCAGGAGCTCAGTGAATTCCAGCGTGGAACTGTGATAGGATGCCACCTGTGCAACAAATCCAGTCGTGAAATTTCCTCGCTCCTAAATATTCCACAGTCAACTGTCAGCTGTATTATAAGAAAATGAAAGTGTTTGGGAACGACAGCAACTCAGCCACGAAGTGGTAGGCCACGTAAACTGACGGAGCGGGGTCAGCGGATACTGAAGCGCATAGTGCGAAGAGGTCGCCAACTTTCTGCAGAGTCAATCACTACAGACCTCCAAACTTCATGTGGCCTTCAGATTAGCTCAAGAACAGTGCGCAGAGAGCTTCATGGAATGGGTTTCCATGGTCGAGCAGCTGCATCCAAGCCATACATCACCAAGTGCAATGCAAAGCGTCGGATGCGGTGGTGTAAAGCACGCCGCCACTGGACTCTAGAGCAGTGGAGACGCGTTCTCTGGAGTGACGAATCGCGCTTCTCCATCTGGCAATCTGATGGACGGGTCTGGGTTTGGCGGTTGCCAGGAGAACGGTACTTGTCTGACTGCATTGTGCCAAGTGTAAAGTTTGGTGGAGGGGGGATTATGGTGTGGGGTTGTTTTTCAGGAGCTGGGCTTGGCCCCTTAGTTCCAGTGAAAGGAACTCTGAATGCTTCAGCATACCAAGACATTTTGGACAATTCCATGCTCCCAACTTTGTGGGAACAGTTTGGAGCTGGCCCCTTCCTCTTCCAACATGACTGTGCACCAGTGCACAAAGCAAGGTCCATAAAGACATGGATGACAGAGTCTGGTGTGGATGAACTTGACTGGCCTGCACAGAGTCCTGACCTCAACCCGATAGAACACCTTTGGGATGAATTAGAGCGGAGACTGAGAGCCAGGCCTTCTCGTCCAACATCAGTGTGCGACCTCACAAATGCGCTTCTGGAAGAATGGTCAAAAATTCCCATAAACACACTCCTAAACCTTGTGGACAGCCTTCCCAGAAGAGTTGAAGCTGTTCTAGCTGCAAAGGGTGGACCGACGTCATATTGAACCCTATGGATTAGGAACGGGATGTCACTTAAGCTCATATGTGAGTCAAGGCAGGTGAGCAAATACTTTTGGCAATATAGTGTATCAATATGTTACATGTAAATGAAGCTCCTCTGTGAAGGCCTAAACAGTTTGTTGGAGAACATTCGGAAACAAACAACATTAATCAAGTTAATAAGTTGAGCAGAATAGATAATAAATAGAAATCAGAGATAGAGTGACTTTATTTTGCAGGTTTTTGTGCACAAATATGGAATGTGAAGCTTGGTTCCCATCACTCTTGACATAATCAACAGTCGAAACCACAACCAAAGTATGTAGAAAATGAGGGCTACAGCAGTATGCAAGTCTGAAGCCCTGTTTTTTGAAAAGTAAGGCAGATGTAGTCGAGGAAAGACTCACAAACAAATCATCCTGTGCCACCATTCTACGGTGAAACACTGTGGCAGCTTAAAGAGACAGCGACTGGGAAGCAGATCAGAGTGGATAGGAAGACTTTAAACTTAAAAAGAAATGTTCACAGATGATCTTCATCAAATCTGAGTGTGGTTTAGTTATTTTGCAGAGAGGAATCAACAAAACTTCCAGTATCTACATATCAAAGGTGGATTAAACATGAAGTTAAACTTGTTTCTCTAAACTTTGTTTTGTCAACACAAATGTTCAAAAAAGCGTTCACTGGGAATCTCTTTGAAAAAAAGCAGATAAAAAATATTTTGCTTTCAAAATAGGAGAAATTACTGTTCTTTGGCTAATTGCTGTGTTTGTCAAAGAGAACATTCATAGAGCAATTATTGAGCAATTATTGAGCACACAGAATGGCTCAGGCCTGTAAAAGCAGGATGCAAAGAATGCCCCAGATATCTGCACCTGCCTCTGGTTTGGTTAGCTCCAAGGATGTGAGGAAGTGAAGGAGCTAACGTATCTAGGCCTCGCTCTCCTCACTGAGCCAGGAGGGCGTTTTTTTTTTTGATGACTGCAACAGAGATATATTGCTTAGAACACACGATGTCCATGCTTTGCAAGTTTTGGAGGTCATCCGGATACAGGCCAGGTGTTCATTACAGCTCCTCGCCTCCTCCCTCATCCATTTCCATTGACTTTTATGAAATCTCTTGAAGATTATCCACTTAGAATTAATACATTTGTCATTTTACACTCAAATCTTTATGGAATCAAAGGCTCACTGTTGAAGCCCTTATCACAATACAAGTTACAAATATTGGATGGATGGATGGATGGATGGATGGATGGATGGATGGATGGATGGATGGATGGATGGATGGATGGATGGATGGATGGATGGATGGATGGATGGATGGATGGATGGATGGATGGATGGATGGATGGATGGATGGATGGATGGAATCTAACTTTAAGGATTTGAAATAATATCTGAATATACCAAATGATGTATTCATGTGACGTACCGTATATATCCAGTCTAGAGAACAGGATGTTTGAAGACAGTTTTTTTTTTGCTGTGAACACAAGCAACATCATGAGAAATTATGCTTTCCAAAACAGCTAGCAGCTTCACTGTGCTGTGTAAAGAACACCATAACAAAGCTGATTTCCTACCCTAGACTGTGCATCAGTAACTGATACACCTGCATATGTGAGGCTATCATATAATTGATCCAACCTTCCCTGCTCTTCTGTTCACCTCTGTACAGAGGGCAGTAATACAAGCTGTGAATGAAAAAAGGCTTTTCATTTGTACATTTTGTATAATAAAACTGCATAATAAGGTTATGCAGTTATAATAATGGTGAGGGGGTTGGGGGGCATTTCTATTGACCTGGACATTTGTTTAGACTCATTCTGCTGCTGCTGAAATATACATTTACAATTCATGTTCAGTTTTTTTGGACAATGAGTTTATAATGTCAAGTATTACCCCACACTCTAAGAATAGATTGGTTGCAAAAGCAACTAAACTAGTTGGTCAAAGAAGGCCATTGGTTTCGGATCAACAACCATTAAAAATGGTAACAGATGGTTTACTACTCAGATTATTTGGCTGTAGTCAAGCGGAGTGTGTATGGTTATGGACCTAGAGAACAATTACAGTTATGTGTAGATATAGAGCACGTAAACCAAGAGAAGTTCTCTTTGAAAGCAGCATTGGATGTGAGAGTTTACCCTCCAAGAAAGGGATTGCTTTGCCTTTCAAATCTACTCAACACCCAGTGAAAGTGATATAACACAAATAATTTCAAACCAATACCTGATAAAGGAAGGTCTTAAAGAGCATCATCAGATTTAAACATCTCACAGACCCAGCTCAGTCCATCATGTGAAATGGTGGATGGGATGTTCAGCTCTCGCTTGAGGTCCTGATGGTTCCCAACAATCAAAAGGAGACCAAAGGGGTTCTCATGCTGCTTCCTGTCTGTCAAGAACACTGATCCACCTGCTGGTGGAATCAGGTACACTCAGCAAGAAGAGCTCATCCTGCAGCAGGAATTAAAGTGTTGAAGGCAGAGCTGATGTTCACAAACAGTATCTTGGTCTGGGTTCCTGGGGAGTTTGGTTGCTTAAGGATATAGTAAGTCATCCACAGACCTGTTGGCTCTGTGGGCAAACTACAACAAAAAAAGTTGGGTATTGCTGTAGATTTAATGACAAATGCATATCTACTGTTATGCATTATGAATTTTAGGTAACATCCCAATTAGATGTCATTGTTCTAAAAATTAAATGTTCACATTTTCTGTGGCATCTTTGAAGCCAAAAAAACTGTTTAAATCGCAGTATTTCAGTTTTAATTACGGTTAAAGGAGTAATGCGTACTATTTAGCACCCTTCAGTGGAGAACTTTCAAATTGCATTTTTACCTGATTAGCATTTTTAAAATGTGATAGAAAAACCATAATATCCACTTAAAAAAGAAAATATAAATAAAACTATTTAACAGCCATGCTTTGTCTGGTGATTGTTTTTTCCAAAGCTGCTGTAAAATATGGGTTATTCAAAATGTAGTGCAGAAATGTCTTTGGTTTGGTTTGGCTACATTCGTTGATGCAGTCAGTCACATTTTTCTGTCATACCTCAACCATTAAAGCACTTAAAGGTTCCAGACATGCATACCAATGGGGTTTCCATTCTGAGGTACCACAAGGCTCCATGTTAGAACCCATGCTAATTTTCTTATACAATTGGACTACTTTCTTTGAAAACACACATCAAGTAACATTTATTTGTACCACATAAAATTATAATGCTTTTGATCTAGTTTGGATGACTAGATTTGTTTCTACTTTAAAAACAATACAGTAATGTTACTTTAGATGTTTATTTTTGTGTTTTTCTGTTCTTCATATAGGCTACAGTTAAGTATAAACTAAGATTTGGGTTTAACATTTTGGTTAACCTTCAACAAACCTCTCAAAATCCTTTCATTTTAATCGTCTATTTAAATAAATCTTCTGGCAGAACAGAGTTACCAGATTTGTTATCTCTGCAATCTTCTACTCTTTCTATCTGAGAATGAAAAGGGTTCTTTCGGCTCAAATGGCTTAAAAAAAAAAACTGTAATCTTAGGGCCCCTTTGTTGCTAACTTGGGGGCATCTTTATCCTTTGGTCCCTTTTAAACCAAGCTTTAACTTCCTGGCTGCTGTTCTGAGATGTTGCCTCCATATTTCAAGCTAATGTTCTTTTCACATGATTTCCTCCTTTTGGTGAAGTACAACAGTTTCCCCTGCAGCAAAACACCAATAAAACATGGTGTGCTTCACATAAAGTATTCTCAGCCCCGTTTTCCTTCAAATGCAACAATACTCATTACAATCTAAACACATTATTTGCGCAAGACTGGGTGTACAAAGACATGTGACTTTGGTTTAATTTACTCAGTTCATACAGACATGAAGTATAGATATAAACTATAGGAAAAAAGAATAGAAGGAACAGAATGTACACGTTTGTGTACTGACATTTCATTTATAAAAAGAAAGGAAGGCAGTTTGTAATAGCTCCTGTTATGTTTTGCTCACTGAGCAGGGAGGAAGGTACTGGATACATTGGTTTCATGGGGTAACAGGCTCAAGGAAGAAAGCTCTTAGACATAGTTTTTATAGTTTTCATAATTCAATTTTCTCCAGCCTAAGAGGTACAGTCTAAAGAGTTTGTATCCAGGATATGTGGAGTCTATAGAGGTATTATCAGCCCTTATCCTCACCCTAGATCTGCACATGCTCTGGATGGTGGGAAGGTCAACCCTGATTATTCTCTCTGCAGATATCGTCTACTTATTTGTTTGAGTCTAGAACTCCCAAAATAGACTTAACAGAAGTTGGGAAGATAACCAGCAACTCCTTGTAGAAGGTTTTACTTAAGTAGCCCCCCGCCAAACGGTTCGGATTTAGTTTTGGAAGAAGTCAGAAATAGGCCACACAAGCAAGCAATATGTTTAAGGTCTTCCATTAAAACACATTTACTGGCTCCTACTTACTTAGATACTTTAAACGAGCCTATCAAAAGGCTGCAAAGCTACATTATTCCATTATTTCTCTCAATATTTTTAAATTACAAAATAGAGACTAATTTTTAGAGATTTAATTGAAGAGCCCACTGTTAGTCAGATTTAACTTCAGAATGAGAAGAAATTAAGTGTCTTTTCGATGCAATCTTTACTCTTACCTGTACTTTAGTAAATCTCCACCTTTTCTGGATAAAATGGGGCTTTAAACCTCAATAAATACATCACTTTACTACTTCATTCAGGTTAAAAAGCATCCACTTCGGATTCATAATTTATTCTGTGTTGAATGACATTGAATGAAATAATATTTCAGTAGTTTTAGCTTGTCTCTAAGCATGATGTCCGTGTTCAAGCCATCACTTTCTAAAAGACAAAACTGAATCAGATTGCAGCAGACAGCTCAGCTCCATTGGGTCACCAGTCTTGGAGATGTTGTAATGCTGAAGGAAAAGCCTTTAGAGGGAAAATCGAAGGCTGGAGGCCAGATCAGCAGTCTGCAGGTTTTCACAAAGCAAGAGAGCAGCAGATAATAAGAGTGGCAGAGAGGAGCCTCAGAGCATTTCACTCTGCTAAACCTGCACTGGAAAACTACTGTTATTCTGAATATATTTAAAATGATTACTTTATTATATTTATTCTTTTTTATTGACAATCTTCTGCATATTATCTTTATAACCTCTTAGGGTTTGTTAACATTTTGGATCCGGCACCAGAAGAGGGCAGTGTTGTTTTACCAAAACCTTCTTCACATCTGCTCAGAGTCCCAATCACCTGTCTGTATCCTGCATGTTTTGTTTGACAGGGTTTGATCTCGGGGGTCAGGTGGAAATCGGTTTCTCCCACTGGAAGAGTCCAGTCGAATCGAGCAGCCAGAACCTCCCCAGTCCCGACGGTGTTCACTCCGAGGCTTCAGCAGCCCTGCCAATTGTGGACCATCCAGAGCCGGTCTCCTGCCCTGCCTCTCTGTCCATCAATCCGCTGCCAACCTGCAGTGCCAGTCAGGAGACTCTTTGTGACAGCAGCACAAGTAGGTTAGATATTGTAATGGCGCACATATAAGCTGGTTTCCAGGCTACATGAGGAATTGCTTAAAGGCTGGTGATCTGGTTAGAATTGAAAGAAAAAAACTTGTCAACAGCTTAGCTGCTACATCTTTATGATGGAGGAGAAGCAGAGATCCACTGCTTAGACAGGAGATTCTGCTGTCATTTGAAAATTGAAGTTCAATTTCAATTCAATTCAGCTTATTTATATAGCGCCAATTTAAAACACATGTCATCTCAAGACCCTTTACAGAGACAGTTTAACCAGATAATAAGGCTACAAAGTTTTCTATCTAAGGAAAACCAGCATACTGCATCAACTCATTGACTCAGTGGCAATCCCTCAAACCAAGCATCCTTGTAGCGACAGTGGAGAAGAAAAACTCCCTTTTAACAGGAAGAAACCTTTAGCAGAACCACGCTCAGTGTGAGCGGCAATTTGCTGAGGCCGACTGGGGTTCAAGGAGACAGAAGCAGAGATACAGAACGAAATATTATTTCTTTCAAAACAGGTCAAAAACAAATATTTTATGTTTTCCAAAATAAAAGAAGAAGACATTTTAATCTGTTCTTATTAAAGCAAACTTAATTTTGGAAACAATGCATACAAAAACTATGCAGAAAACATGGTGGCTGGATGCATGCAGGGGACAGGAAAGCTGGACAGAGCTGATTAGTAAAAGATGCATAGACTTAAATATATGGCAAACCTGAAGTAAAACCTGTTAGAGCCTCTAGACGACGTGTAAAGCTGCTTTTTGAAGCATCCCCAAAGAAACTTGCAGCTATAAATGCAGCTGGTTATAGAACTAGCTTTCTCAGAAGGATAACTATATTAACATTTGTTTATGTGTTTATACTTTGAAAACCATATGCTATATTCTCCGCTCATTATAACTTTAATGTTATAATGTTCATTCAAATAAAACATACCTTGTGGCTGGAACAAGATAAAAGAATTTATTCTGGAATCTTTTTATAAATTTAGTTTATAAATGTTATCTACACACACTGTACTGCCTGTGTCTTTTAGTTTTTTCCACTGGGCACAAATTCTTAGAAATAGTCCTCTACCGTCTACAGAATATTTTCCCATCGTTTTTGCCGTAAATACATTTGATTTTGTGGAGGATTCTTGCAGGGCTCCTGGATGAGTGCGTAATACACTCTTGGAGTAATTTGGGTACTGTGGCAGAAAATGTTTTAACCCTTTCTAGATTGTCTGTGACTTTTCTGTTAATAACTTCTAGTAGGTGATGGTAGGGGTTTTTGTTATTTTAATGGTTTTATTCTATTAAGTGATTTTTGCTCCTGCAAACTAATTAGGTTAGATTCAAACATTGGCATAATGAATTTGCAGTTATGTTTCTTTTTTCCGTATAATTGTGAAAATGATAAACATTTCACACAGTTTTAAGTCAAAATCCGAGCTTTTAAAAATCAATTTTCTATAAACTGTGAAGTAAGTGAATAATATCTGTGTCGTTGTTTCTGTTTGCCGTATAATGGTCTTCTGTAGACTTTAATTTGACATGCTCCCTCATTTCCGTGTGGATATGTGCCCTTGAGTCTCCATTAATGGTACCTGCTGAAAATGTAATCGGTGCCAACTGTCATTGTGCCGTGCTGCAGCAACACTGCCATAGCCAGCACTCTGCTCCTATAGGCCCGCTGTCAGAGCTGCATGACCTCTGATTGGCTGGCAGGAAAGTCTTGCCGGAGAAGCTGATGAGCGGCACGCACACCCCCTCACTCCATCTCTCTCTCTCTCCCTAAAACTGTAAACATCCTGCTTATGCGTTTCTTCTCTTTTCTTTGAGGATCTTTTGAATGTGCCTGCAAGCTTGACAGAGCAGTCAGAGAGTATGCGTGCGCTTCTGCGTGTTTGGGATGTTGATTGGCTCGATGCAGTGATGGGGAGAAGGGGGTAAAAAAAAAAAAGAAAGTGGGAATGCTGTTTTACCCTCTTGGGACGCTCGGTTTGTTTGCATGCTGCCTCTGGAGGGAAGCGAGGGCTGATCGTTGGGTTTCAGTGTTTGTGTGTTTGTTTGCATGTTTGTATGTGGAGGAGTCCTCTGGCTGTTTTGGCATTTGCTTCAGCTCAGCCGGGAAGCCCTCCTCCCCTTCCCTTCTCCCCCTCTCCGCTATGAGGGGTGAAGCTCCCTCTAAATCTGCCCACCTTTACACGGTGAGTGTTGTCAAGTTGTCTTGAAGCAAAGGCAGCTTGTTCTTCAGAGTGCTGCAGTGCTCTCTTTCATGTCTTGCCATGTCCTCCTCCTCCTCTCACTTGTCTTTAATCTGGCTCATTCCTCACACTCAGCTTCCTCTGACCATGCGAGCAAATGACCTTCAATCGCTCGCTCCCCATCTGCTGTAGTGGTAACTCTTTTCTATACACTCTACCTCTCCATCATCCATGATGCATTACTTCAAAGACACACATATAGGTCATGTAATTGACTTCGAGCAGTATGAGTAAGTGTCTATTGGAAGTGTGTTGTCTGTGCGCCAGCGGCAGCTCAGGAAGCATGAAATCTCCATGTTTCCTGATGGAAAATAACAAAATGATGGGCTCATCGGATGGAGTGAATGATTTTCCTGACACTTGATCCTCTGAGCATCATACCACCCACCCCCTCCATCTCCTATTCTATTCTCCTCTCAGTGTCATAGATAATCTAAAAGCAGGCACATGCTTTAAATGAGAACAACTAAAGCAGGAATCTTTTTTTTTTTTTACATCAGACAGGGAGTAACTGATTAGAAACTGAATGCCAATTTTAACTAATATATGGCTTCCATTACTGCTAAAGCTTTAGAATGAAAAGGAAAGCATGATAGAACCTGTTTGTCAGCATGTAGTAGGGTCAAAACACTTAACAGCAACAGGAAATATCTATATTTAAAGAAATTCCGAAGTAGATTTCAAAAAATTTAATTGTATCTGGAATGGCTAGAACATATTCCTAAGGACTTCCAAAAAACTAAAAGAAAAAGATGCAGGAACAACATCTATATGCCTCAAATACCTTAGTAAAAATCACAGATCATGAATAAATGATAAAAAATAGGCTGTGCAATGAGGCCTCATGGTCATAGGACCATAACGAAGCCAAAACCAAAGCTGACCAAGAAGAACACAAAGGTTTGATTTATATTTGCTTTGTGGTGAAACAAGATAAAGAGGAACATTTAGACCCTTTATATTTAGTGTAAAAAAGAATAAAAATGTTAAAAAAATAAACAGAACAAAACAAAAAAATCATACATAGTTTTAAGGTGATTCCAAAAACGTAAAAAAAAAAAATCCACTGGACTTTGTTTCCGAGTTTGAAAACATTTCGCTTCCTATCCAGGAAGCTTTTTAATTCAAAATGTCAGACATAGCGTTAAGTTTGTGGCTTTATAGAGTGAACCAAAAGCAAAGCCTTGTTTTAGCTTAGAGAACATGAACATTTGTCTAAGCCAAACACCTTAATAGCTTTAAGCTAAGGTCTTAAAAAAAACCTTAATAGCTTTTTGTTTGATGGTTTGCTTTATGTCTTAATCTCCGGACCAGAAAATCCTTAAAATCTGACTTTCACTACAAGCTCCCTCAGTAAGTCCTTAAATGAATCAGCCAGACAATGATGCAAAGAGAAACCACCTAATATATCACTACATCATTACCAGTTATCATGACATAACTCCAACTTTAAACGAGGAACATTATTTTCAGGGAACTTAATTTCTACGACAACGCTATTAAATAGCGAGAGATCAATGTTTCTCACTGAAAATACGCGGGAAAATTTGCTTCATGGCTTCACAGTACCAACAAATGGAATGAGAATAAGAACCGGCCATGTAGATATGGCAGAATGTTACCTGATCAGATGAATTGTATTTTCTATATGTTATTGCATAGTTTCTTGCTTGGCGCTGAACTGAAAAACATGACACTTGTATGGACAATAGGAAGGGGGCGAACCAGAGAAGGAAACAATGCTTTATTGTAGACCTCCCTTTGGAAACTAAGGGTACTTCAATCAGTTTTAAGGGTGCTTTGACCTCACTGTCTTCAGTCACTGACTATGTTCCCCGCTTTGGAAATATCATCCCATAAAGGCCACAGCTTCTTTTTGCCAGATAATGCACCTGAGTTTGGCTATGGGTCAGATCCTGGGGAGACGCGTCCTGTCTGTGGAGATCCCACCTTGCAAATAAGTGCTTCTCTGGTTCTGTTGGGTCTACTGCTAACTAGTGTTGCGCCGATGCCATTTTTTGGCCCCGATACCTGGCTGTGCAGTATCGGCTGATACCGATACCATAATAATGTAAAATAATTGCCATCATGGCTTTGTCAAGCTGCTGCCTACCTTTGTGAAGCAGGAAAAAAACTAATACAAAGTGAATCCAGTAGAACTTTTTATTGCCTACCAGGAGTGGGTGACAATAGTTGAATAAACTTATGGCTCTCAAAATGGTATCGGTGCCCTATTTGTTGGTACTCGCCGATACCGATACCACCATTTTAGGGCAGTATCGGGGCCCCGTCCGATACTGGTATCGGTATCGGTGCAACACTGCTGCTAACATCTACAAGCTACATACAAATAGCAACATACCCATATCCCAGGATGAGTCCATGTTCGCCATGTTATGTATCTTGCACTATTAGTAAATCTAGTCTTTTATTAAAATTTTGTACGTGGGTGAATTTGCAAAAATCCCACATTTCCGATTTTACAAGTTAGTGTTTTAAATGTTCAAATTTGTGTCAGAAAGGCTAAAAAACCGAGAAAAGCTTGACTATTTGAAATGGTTGGCTGAAAAAGACCCTCTTCTATCTAAAGAGTAGATTGCAAAACCATTCAAGTTTGTAATTATTCATCTGTAACACAAGCCTCACAGAATAAAACAGATTTTAGTTATGATCTGCAGGACCGTATTTACCTCAGCTTAAACCCACAGCATAATGGTGGAAACACATTGTTGCACATTGCATATGATAAATAGTTATTTAGTATATTTTATTCTCTTTTTGGGGGTTTTAATTTGACACAAAAGCCTTAATTAGCTTAAAGTACCTATGTTTGTGGGTACTGCTTTTATGCCTTGGATATAAGACTTAATTTTTTCCTAATTAAAATTTTCATAGTACATTGACAGCATTAAAGAACCAGCAAATGACGTAATACCACAGTTTAAAATGGTTTAGTAGGATATTTTCACCCTGAAGACAATCTTTAAAATAAATAAAAAAACATAAATGGAATTGGCTAAAGAGCCACAAGTCTATTGTAATTTCCCACTAATAACCTTTACTAACACCTACGCATTATGGATCGACAACTTAATAAAATAAATTCAGATCTGTCTTTACAAACTATATGTATATACAAACTTACAAGTAGATGACAGAGAAAGCGGTGAAACTGAGATCAGATTACCTTTTCTTTTATGTCTGTTCCTTTCAGTTCATGTGGCCTCAGATGTGGCTTGTGTTACACATTTGCAGTCGCACTGTTAAAGTTTGATGGTCACATTGTTTGACCTGTAACAGTGGGATGCAGGCTGGAAGCATAATGTACGCCAATATATAATGTCGTAGTCCCCTGACAGCTAACTTTTATAGGAAACAGTTCAATTTCCACTAATGAAAGTGGGAGTTGAGTTTTTGTGGTTCCAAAGGTATTTGGTGTCATTAATGCATTGAATAGTGGAAGTTAGAGCTTTATTTTGTAATCCTGTTTATAAAAACTTTTGTTATGTTAAGTGAAATGGTTCTTCCATCTTGAGGGTCATCAATACCTTATATATTTAGTAAAATGGACAAAAAAAATTTCTGATGTCTGTGAGAGTTACTATCCTCTAGAAACTGAGCAATCTCTGCCATTCTGTCTGAATCCCTTGAAAAAGTATTGCCATACTATTCCTTTATTTTTACAATTAAGACAAAAATCTAATCTTATAATTCTACTTTTTAACTAAAGTAAATAAAACACTTTCTGTTTTATTAGATCATTCACAGTGTTATTAATACTGCTAATGTTGCTAATTGTTCACACTTAACTATACAGATGCTTTTGTATCCACTGATGAAGATTCCCTCACCTCAGCAGACATAATGCTTGAAACTCAAAGTGAAACAGATGGAAAGGCCTATTTTTTGGTTCATGTAGTTAATTGTGCTACAGCTTTGTGCTACTCTAAAGCATTCCATCCAGAAAGGGTAAGGTAATGCATAAATTTAGGACAAATGTTATAAAAGATGAATAAGGAGCAATAGTGGCATCATAAACTGAGCAATGTCCTCTGTCCTGTTGTAGTAAAAGTGATCCCAAAATTAATGCACTATGATGGCATCAGAAGCAACACACAAACTTCAATGTTTCAGCTTAATTTCCCCTTGTTTTACCAATCCTAACACCTTTTTTTCTTTAATATTCCAGCTTACATGGTAAAATAGCTTACAATGTGACAGCAGCTTTAGCTTGCTCTTTGATTCAGCTCGGATTTAATTAGCTAAAACCCAGCAAAGCAGAACCCCATAAAAGAAGACTATGCTGAGCATTCGTTTCATGTCTTACTCTGCTGCATCCATGGGCTCCTGTGTTCCACGGCTTTCCCCAATTCTGACTCTCTTACTACATTTCAGCAGAAAAAAAAAAACAGCTGAGTCACACTAGTGTCACAATATATTCAGGCATCAAAAACTGCAGGTAAAAAAAAAAGAAAATGACTCGATTAGATTGAGTTAATTTAAGGCTTTTGGCTAGACTGAAAACAAATTAAATATATAGGTGTTACTCTGGTTGAAAGAAAACTATTATAATAGAAATAAAAAAAAAAAACATTAAGACAGAGGGCCTTTTGAAGCGGTAGACCACTTATAAAAAAACTGTACATATTTTGCTCTTCGGGAAATAGATTTTATGCACATTTTTAATAGGGATCCACATTTATCCACTTGTCCTGAAGCCAAATATGGATTACCACTGATTCCTATACGTTGGGATACCGGAGATCTTTAATGTTATTATTGCCATTACCATTCATATATTTTTCCAGGGGCTGTAAATGCATCTGTATGCATTTATATATATATATATAGATATACACATATATATATATATATACATATATATATATAGATATATATATAGATATACACACACACATATATATATATATATATATATATATATATATATATATATATATATATATATATATATATATATATATATATATATATATATATATATATATTTTAAAGCTGAACTATAAGAGCAGAAAATTAGTAAATCTTTTTAAGAGGAGAAAGAAGTAAGACCTGATTGGCCTTATTGGTTAAATCCAGGAATACCTGTCCATAAAGGGTTTATTTAATTCTCTCTGCTTTTTGTGCTTTTAAGCTCTTTTAACTGCAGTGAGTTGATATAGGAAAACTGCAGTACATGTATTGTGCATTATGAATAAAACTGTCTTGTTTTTCATTATTAGTGATGTGCAAGTTTACCAGAAGATTATGAATATATTAAATAGCTAGATTTGGAAGTTATAGTAATTCAAATCGAGGGTCAAATGAATGATTATTAGTTGAATGATTATAACTGTAATTTGCTTACTCAGCAAGTTTCTTGAGATTATGTTTGACATTATAAAGAGACGTGTATGTGTTTTAATAAACACAATTATATTACCATTAATGAACACAGTAATCTCTTCCCTTATTTGGGAAATTTTCCTAAGAAGCGATTCTTGCAGGCTGCTTTGTCATGATGGGTACTCTAAGAGTGACCCAATTATGCAAAACACCACTGACGGACACAGGAATAAAAGTTCAACAAGTTTATTTGAACACAAGCACACTGATAATACTGGTTCTGGTTCGGGCCTGGATACTGGTTCACCGGAGTCTGCGTGAGAGACAGTTCAGTTAGCGTTGCACGTTGGAGCTTGCTTTCTTGATTATAACTGATTGTACCTTGAGGGTTCCTGTGGTTAGCTTTGGGAGGGTCACTGTTGGATCTGGAGAGGAGTTGATCAGCAGAGTCCGCTTGCTGCTTCAGCGTCTTACATCTAGTACTGAGCAGACCTTGGCTTTGGGTTTTCCAGCTCTTAGTCCTGAGCTGCATGGAAGTTCACTGTGGTTCTTCGGGTTTGGCTCTGAGGGTCGGCTCGGCAGGTTAACTCTTCCAGAGCTTCACAGAGGAGAAACTGGTTTCCTGGAAGATAGAGACAACGGTTAGAATCCAGGCTGGATTCAAAGTCACAAAGATTCACTGAGAGTCTAGGCTTAGGCGCTGACCAACTGGATCAACACTGCGGCGTTGAGGCAAGGTCTGAAGACAGCTTATGTAGTGGATCCTCTGATGATCTGATGGGCTGCAGCTGTGCAGGAGGCTCACTCAGAAGGATCCACGGCGGACTCTGCTGGAGGAAGGTGGAACTTCTCCAGCTCCCAACATGCTTATTTTTAGTCTTCCCTGGCTAAAAGTTATTGTGCTCTTTCATAACATCAGATGTTCCAAAAAGTATGCTGAATTATTGTCCGCATCTCTAGATCTTACCAAGATTTCAAAAATAAGGTAAAAAAAAAAAAGTCTTATATAATTTATTTTGTTTCAGGAGTTCTTTTATACTTATAATTAATGTTCCATCACTGCCTTGTAAAAGAACCATACATTGTGGCAATATTAACAATCTAGACAAAAACAAAGAAAAATATACATTTTAGATTCGTCTGTCCCGAAAAACTTATTCCAAAACTTCTGGTCCTTTGCAAAAAATGCTTTAGTCTGTATTTCTGAACCTCCTATAAAAGATAAGTAAGAGGTATTTAATGATAAAAGAAAACCGCCTTTTTATTTATTTGTTTATAAAAAGAAAACAACAAACCTGCTCGATTATCCAAGGTCCAATTATCCTTTTTAGAAGCACTGGTCCTTATAAAATTGAATCCACCCTGTAGGTTAGTGATCTGTCTCCCAGTGTTCAAACTCACAAGAAGCAGATATATTGCATTCTTTTCCTGTTATAAAGGACAAAATATGCTACAAAATAGGCAAAATCTCTACTACAGTGTTTCTGGTTGATTGTTTCTGCATTGTCCTCTTGTTGATCCTGTAGAGACGGACGGTTAACCGTCTCCTTGGTGTGCCCTGATAGACATTCTGGACCAGCACAATGGAAAAATGTTGCTTCGTATTTGGTGGATTAGCTGGTAGCCATTTTTGTTTCCTCAGCATGAAGGAATAAAGCTGCACAGTTAACAAAAAAATAAAACCCTGAATGCATGTCTAAGAATAGGGATGATATTTAGAACCAGTATAATGGAATGGAATAGAATAAATATTCTATTTCTCTTTAAAGCAGAGAGAAGTGCTTTTATAACTCTGAATCCCTTCATATCAAAAGAACAAAGCACATAGTGTTTATAATTTTCTATTTTTTGTCCCATAAGGGCAAGGCACAAAGAAAAACTCCGGGTGAGCTTCCTTGTGTTTTTGCAGATGTGAGTTTGTCCCTACATGGATCTGAGCCCAAGCAGCAGAGCCCCCACCAACACAGAGAGCTGCTGCAGCCCTCTGCCTCTGGTTACCAGCCAGCAGACAGACCTCTCGTTTTTCTGTACTGTGAGAGGGAGGACGTCATGAAGGAGACCTCGGCTGAAACCTCGGATTCCAGCATTCAAGGCAATGTCCCTCAACTGGGTGAGAGTTTGAGTCGAGCATGAAAAATGAAAAATGGGGATCTTCTTTAACAGGTCATTTTATTTTCTTATTTATCATAAATTAGCTGTGAAGGGCATTAATGTGGTGCTACAGAAAGAAACATCAGATGGCATCAGCAGCCCATCCAGAGATGATGACGCTACCCTTCAGAACCCTGGAACTCACAGCAGCATCCTTGATGAAAACAGCAAATCACAATTAGACATCCCAGAGGTACAGCACCCTGCCAGTAAGATAAAATGAATAAATGAATAAGAAAAACTATTTCCAACAGAATTAGAAAAATTGTCTCTGTGACTTTTTGTCCATAGAGGAGTGCGAAATCCACTGGTCTTTGCTTCAGCGATGGAAAAAGTCTCATAGACTACATCCTGGTTTACAGGAAGTCCAGCTCCCAGTCTGAGAAGAGGGAGATATTTGAGCGGAACATCCGTGCTGAAGGGTTGCGCTTGGAAAAAGAGGTAAAAAAAATAAAAGAAAACCTTTTTATCACAAGAACTTTTGACAAGAGCTTAGTTTATTTATGTAGCACTGATTCACAACAAATGCTTTCTGAAGGAACTTAACAGAGACTATTTTTATCATACAGTCAAACTGGTCAAAAATCTATCAAAGGAAAGCCAGCTGATTGCAACTAATTCATTAACTTTGCATCATTTATTCCTCCTCGTTGTAGTATGTGTTGAGAGTAGATATTCTCTAGCATTTTTTCAGTGACTCTACAGCAATCCCTCACACCGAGCATGCATACAGCAACAGTAGAGAGAAACAAACCTCCCTTTTAACACGAAGAGATCTTAAGCAGAACCAGGCCCAGTGCGAGCGGCTTTCTGCTGAGGCCGAATGGGGAGTTTAAGAACAAAGATGCAGCCATTACAAAAGGAACATAGAAGCAATAATCTTTTGCAAAAGATCAAAAATAAATAATCCATGAATACTTTCTATGTTGGAAAAGATAACAGCTAACTAGGTCCATAAGTGGCTCTGCCTAGAAAAGAAACAGTTAAGCAGATGAACTCTTCTCTTAGGCTTTTCATATAAATAGGAAATAAAGAGAGCACATACAGTTAGTCTCCATAAACCCTGAGCGCAGGGGAGAGAAACAGGACTAAACACAGAAAAACAGACACAACACTTTTATTTTATTTAAAGTTGTTGGTGACAGAACCCCAGTTTTTGACTTCCTCCAGGATGATCTCACAGCCAAATAGGATCAGGTAAGGCTACTGTGATGATAAAATAACAGAGAATATAAAGTTATGGTTTTAAATAACAAAAATGGCAAATTGGTAAAAAGAAATATAATGAATCAGAATGATAAAAAGTGGTCCCTTTGTCCTCCACCAGTCTAAGCCTATAGCTACATAAGCTAAAAGATCTACCTCCCATGTCTTTTAGAGATTCTAAAACCATTGTATCTGTGATCAGTGTTACCAAATATATTTTGCTTGAAAGCAGCCAATCAGCATCAGGTTCATAGTAGAGGCATAAAACTACATAAAAGTATTGTATAATGGAATAAACAGGAGAAGATGGATGGAGTGTGATAGAAATTTAAGGACCTAAAGTGCTGAGATGAGTACAATATGCATGGTGCTGTGTTAGAGGAGACATTCCTGAGCAACCTGGGGAAAAGTAGCTGTCCTGGGTGCTGAAATTGTTTTCTCCATGTCTGTTTTCCACCCTGCACAGGCTTGTTTAACAAACAGCGATGTGATTTTCCTGAAACTGCATGCACCGTGGGATGTTCTCTGTCGCTATGCAGAGCTCATGAATATCCGAATGCCTTTCAGGTGAGTTTTTTTATTTTCATTGAAACTGTTTTTTCAATCACCTCTTGCCATAAAAGTTAATGTGAGAAACTAGTCACTCTGCACAAAATTTTTAGTTAAATTTTTTTATTACCTTTCGTCCCCAGAAAATGTCAACTTAGACACTTGATCTCAAAACATCTTTGTTTTTTTAATAGAAAATCCATGTCTTGATTAAATATTTATATTTGGCCATTAAAGATAAAGTCATAAAACTTTTGAGGAAGAAGTTGATTTAAATTTTGGGCTGAAATGGGTCTTCTGAAAGGGACACCAACCGTAAGCATGATACCTGATTAGTTACAAAGGGGCTTAAGTTTAACAAAGTCATTGTTTAGCAGCCATCATATCCAGGGATGGAGGACTCAAGAACAAACTTTGTCACAGAAGAAGATGCCTCTTTCTTGAGTTCTGTCTTGTATTATTGGTTTAAAAAATTTTGTTGGGATCGTCCAAAAGCCTGTAGTTACTCAGAAATAGAACCTGACTTTTGCTTCAGGTCCACATCAGTAAAAAAGGAGCAAACTAAATTTCAAGCCAAATTGACTTAAGTAATGTGAATATAGCTGCATGCTGCCATTTCAAGTAAAAGAAAAAAAAATATTTTAAAGAAAATTCCTTATGCACTCTGTGTAGCATCAGAAAAATATCAATAATAATATATCATCTGGTCTTTGACCAAAGAATGCATTTTTATCCATCCAGCTAACCAGCCGTTAGCGTAGAGTAAGCAAACACTGTGCAGGCGTTAAACAAATGCCTTTTTTTCCCCTAGCATATTCAGTCTTATTAAAATAAATCATAATGTACCAATTTATCCAAGTTTTACAAAAAAAGTGCTTTACAGTACTATTAATAAACACTCTTTCTGATCAGTAATGATATATGTCAGACTATGTTTTTAAAAGTACATTTTAAATTAGTAAGTATCAATGCATTGTTGCTTTCAAGAACTTGTTAGCTTGATCTAGAATCAGAAGAAGAGCCAGAAGTCTTTATTTGTCATTGTTCCTCAAGTGTACAACAAAATGTTTCAGCAGCTCAAAACAATATAAAACAATACAGTACAGGCAAATTGTCCAAAAAAAGGAAAAAATATTACAAAAACAATATAAAAGGACTGTGCAGTTATAGAGAAAAATATTTATACACAAGAATATTTGCACAGATTGTGGTATGGGGCATTAGAATGTTGTGCTTATACAGTTATGTAGAAATTGTTTCTTATTTAATATGAATAAGTAGCATTAATTGGACAAGTAATCATTCTTAGATTAATTTTGTGCTATAAAATGTTATCTTTTTTTAGGGGAAAAAAAAACAATATTCCCAAATTCAAATTCTAAAGATTCAACCTTTCTCTTGGTGTTGTGGATTCTATCTTGGTCTTGGCCTTGGAGGTTCCGACCTTGACAATCTCTGATTGCAACGTTCTGATCTCAGTGCAATAGAAGATCTGTGGGAAGACCTTAAAACCAGGTTCACCATTCTTGTGTGGAAGAATGGGACAAAATTCCAGCAAGCTATAGTTAGAGGCATTTGTACAAGTGATTGGATTTAAAAGCTATTTGACAAACATTTGGAAATGTTTCTAAACTTTCTAAATTAAAAGAAAAAAATGTACTGTTCAAACCCAGGAAAATGTTTTTTAATAAAAGTAGAAGGTTCCTGTTGAATGGAAACATCTAGTTTTAACCAGGAATAGTTAAATTAGGTTAGTATGATACTGTATCCCTGAGCTTATTAAGCTTCTTCTAAACCTTTTGTTGCCATTTTTTATAGGAGGAAGATCTTTTGCATGCACAGAAGACACAAGTTTTTGAGCAGGTAGGACTGCAACTGCAGGAACCTCTAACCAGTTTTCAACCCAGTTACTCCAGTTGATCAAACTTCTTTTGCAGAATGGAGAAGCGCATCAACAAGTTTCGCGGATGGCTTCCCCGCAAGCCTATGAAGTTTGATGATGACACCCTGCCCTACTTAGAGGAGAACGAAAGCTTTACAGCCCCCTTCAGTCGATCAAGAATCCATCAGTGAGCTTGTTTTGACTGTTTTTAATTTGGTGCTCTAGAAATATTTCTGATGCATTTTTAAAGTGAAGCCGCATATAGACGGATGTCCATCACTCTTTTTTCCGTCAGTTTCATCATCCACAACAAAGACACGTTCTTCAACAATGCCACCAGAAGTCGGATCGTACATCACATCCTTCAAAGGGTCAGATATGAGGAGGGGAAGAATAAAATGGGTGAGTGGATGGATGGATGGATGGATGGATGGATGGATGGACGGACGGACGGACGGACGGACGGACCACAGTGTTGATTTACTGTTGACCTGTATGGTGCTCTAGAGTCTCTCAAGAGCAAGGGATATAACAAAGAACTATTTAGTTTATCGCCTTGCTCTTCTCATTCAGTTGATTTTGGTTTATGTTTTTACAACCTGCAACTCAGTGGTCATCCATCACACATTGACTAACTGCTCGAATAGGTCGACCACTATGGCGATTCGCTTTCAGAAATTACAGAGCCTGAAAGAAGGGCCCAAAACCACATGTAGCTGTTTAACTTTCCTTCTGTGGCTACTTTACACAATTTAAGAAATTAACGGACAGAAGAGAGAAGTTTTAAATTGGAACAAATGGTTGACATTTCTTAAAACAAAAGCGACAGGAACATTTTTCATTATTTTTAATCATTTTTCTGCAGATAGGGCAGAGTCGGGTAGTTGCATTCACATTGTTACATTTACTTGAATAACTTTCTGATGCAAGTTTATGTTTGCAAGTAGTTTTACTGCACCATACTTTTTAATTTTGCCCAGGTACTATTATTATGAAGTATCACTACTCTTGCCCGAGTAAAATCTTTGGCCTCTCTATCGACTGTGAGTAACTTTACTGAAAAAAGAAGAAGCACATTTAAACTTAAAACACAGGGAAACTATTTAAGTTTAACAAAAAAAAGTATTCCCTTTTTACAAAATCATTTTTGTTTTATTGTTACTTTTATCTTATGATACTCTTATGACCTGGAGGTTATCAAGGTAATATACAGTAAAAAAGTGTAATTGCCTTTGGAGGTTGTTTTCCTTGTTCCATCATGTATCCTTAAGATACATTACTTACATACTTTAGAGCAGCGGTCCCCAACCTTTTTTGCACCACGGACCGCTATATGTCAGACAATATTTGATACGACTGGCATAAAATCAAATACAAACAGCATAAAAATAAAACAACAAGCCGGTCCCATCTAGGCGTAATCGGAGACAATGACACACGAAGTGTGCTCCTGATGTCCAGTCTGCTCCGTAGCTTTGTTTTGGTCGCTGTAACCGCAGAAAATCCCGCTTCACAAAGATAGCATGTTATAGATAGGATGAGTCTTGAACTGAATTAACCTGTGTCAAGAGGCACAGATGCACTGACTGATGTAATTGGGAGAGAATACCTCAATTTTTTATATTTTTCAAAATAAAACATCACTCAGACTCTGATCGTCGATAAATTTTATATATATATATATATATATATATATATATATATATATATATATATATATATATATATATATATATATATATATATATATATATATATATATATATATATGTGTAAAACACAGAAATATATATATATATATTAGGGCTGGGCGATATAGAAAAAAAGCTTATCGATAAAAAAAAATGCATATTGATCGATCTAGATAATTATTGAAAAGATTTGAAACCATATTTTATGTGCAGCTCTGCCTGGACTTTTTATAATATTGCTAAATGATTTAATTTTAATAAAAAACACAAACACAGACTTCGAATTAAATCTTTATTTAACCAACTTTTTTTACCATAACAGAATTGTTTTAAAGAAAAATAACTTAAGAGACCTGAGTTATGTTATTAAATACTAACAAAGAATAAACTAAAGTGACCAAAATAAATATAACAAATAAATAAATGCCCCCCCACCGCCGCCCCCGTTTCCTGCTTTAACCTGAGTTAGTACTTTGAAGTTTCTGGCCCCTCAGCATTTTTCTCTCAATCGTTAGAACTACGTGGGAAACTTCCCAGAACTGAAAATATATATATATTTTCCGAAGATTCCTCGGAGGAGAGCCGCGTCGGGGCCTACACAGCTCGTACTCCTGCGGCTGTGAGCGGCTGAGAGAGACGATAAAAAAAAAAAAAAAAAAAAAAAAGTTGGTTGTGTTATCAGGCTTCGTTTTCACTTGTTCCCGACACATTTTCCAGATGACTGTGGTTTGTTTTTTGTCCGAAATACTGCCAGACTGATGAACTACAAAAACCCTTTTTTGAAACAATTTCCTCCGCCTCTCCTTGCTGCGACGTCTTCATTGCTCTGTGTTGTGGTTTGAGAGGGCGGCGCTTGGTGACGGCGTGCCTGGGTCCGCGATTGTGATTGGTTGGGAGGAAGCAGTGACTAGCATAAACCTACATGCTAGGCTACAATGAGAAGGAAGGAAACTGTGTTTCTTTTTTATCGAACTTTTATCGACCCTCTTTTTTTCTATTGCGCCACACGTCTATCGATCGATATATATCGTTATTGAATTATCGCCCAGCCCTAATATATATATATATATATATATTTATATATATATATATATATATATATATATATATATATATACATATATATTCTTTTTTCTGTGCGGCCCGGTACCAAATGACCGACGGACCGGTACCGGTCCGCGGCCCGGTGGTTGGGGACCGCTCCTTTAGAGTACATTAGTTTGGTACTCTACCCACTTCTAAAATAATGTTGCTTTTTTTTCTTATGAGCCTCATATTTTATTTTGTTGTATAATTATTAAAATAACTCACTTAATTGGCTGCTATTCTATAAAAAATGATTGTTCCCTCATAGGGTTGTCACGATATAAAAATTTAAAACTCGTTTATCACACCTCAGAAAATACTTGATAATATTCTATACAAGGGGGAAAAATCCATTTAAAGGGATAAAAATACATATTTTAATTGTCAGCTGAACATTTTATATTTATAAATCAAACTCACCAAATCGGTTATTAACCCTTAAATTGCCTTTTTTTGAAGAGTAAAATGAAAAATAGGATAAATTTGGCCTGTGGGAAATAATATTTAACATTTGCTTAAAGTAAAAGTACCAGAATCTTGTAAGATCTCACCTGCTTAACAACTGCACTGAAAAAAAATTCCAGATAAAAAAGTACATTGCCTATCTGCAGCCTTACCATCTGACGCTCCATCATCTTTCTCTGCTGGTTGCAGGAATGAATCGTCTTCTGACCAATAACTCGTATGAAGCGGCTTTTCCTCTGCATGAGGTAATTACATCGACCTTCCTTCACAGCCCTTTATTTCCTGATTTGCACCACCTGTTTTTCATATCAGCAATACTCGCTGAGGTCAGCATGCTTGGAACTGTCCCTTTTTTTTTTACTGCACCAGGGCAGCTACCACAGCAAAAACTCCATCCGAACTCACGGAGCAGAGAACCATCGACACCTTCTGTATGAATGCTGGGCCTGGTGGGGGGTCTGGTACAAGTACCAACCTCTGGACCTCATCAGGTATGCAGCAAGTTAGATTTTATATTGAATTTAGAGGAAAACCTTAGAGCAGGCTGTAGTAGCATTAACCATAAACACTTTGTACTCCTACTGTTGTTTCAGGAGGTACTTTGGTGAGAAAATCGGCCTGTATTTCGCTTGGCTCGGCTGGTACACAGGGATGCTGTTCCCTGCTGCTCTTGTCGGTCTGCTTGTGTTTCTATACGGTGTTTTCACTCTGGAGCACTGTTCAGTCAGGTAAACACTGAAGCTCTATTTTTACATGTGCAACACCTTTCAGGAGTATTTATATCCCCAGAACTCATTCATATTTTACGCTTGATTTGACAAACAACCTTAATTTATAGTGGTAAATTTGGGTTTGGTGGTTTTTCAGCAAAGAAATCTGCCAGGCAACCGACACTATCATGTGTCCCATATGTGACCAGTACTGCCCCTACCTGAGGCTGTCTGACAGCTGCATCTATGCTAAGGTACTATCACTTTAGGCTCCCAAGCTTGTTAGAGTAATCTGGTATTTTAATTTAATGTTTAAAATGTACATATTTAAGCTACTTTTTGAGTGTTTGATGTTAGTTTCCTGTCTGTATTTTAAGGTCACCCATCTTTTTGACAACGGCGCAACGGTTTTCTTTGCTGTGTTCATGGCAGTTTGGGGTAAGTCCCTTTTAATTAATCAGTTAGATGTCATTTAGTGGGTTTTTTTTGTCTGCTTAGTTTACTGTAATGTAAGATATCTCATCTAGTTTGCAGGTTAAAAAATGTTTAAAAAAAAGGTATTAGACATGCAGTATCAGGTGAAAAGATTAAGACAATTGATGGAAAATTAACTCTCCTGTTAGATAATAGTCAACATATATTTTACATATATTATATATATATATTATAAATGGTTGATGATTTGTGTCCTAAAACTTTTATGTTGCATAAAAAAAAATAATATAACACAAATGGCTGTACATGAAATACGCCTTTAACCATTCATTGAGATTCTCTGTGATACATTCAAATCACATAATGTATTAATACATTTTTTATTTAAAATATTAAAAGAATCAAAATGAGACGATGAAAGAAAGTATTTACAGTTTTATGTTCTTGAACTAAAGCACAAAAAGTAAAACAAAAATGTCAGATAAAGTTTTTTCATAGCCAGTAGTTGATTTACAATCATTATTGTATCTCAAAATACACGTGAATCATTTCTGTACAATTTCTTCCACTGGTCTGTGTCTCTTTATATCCAGGGCAGATTGAAATCTTAATAATATTCTAAAATATGTATTATATTATAAGACTGGCCCCTCCGGTTTCTTTATTTTAGTTATTTTTTTTTTTTTTTTTCTATATGTATTAACTACACGATTTAAATATTGTGGAAGCTCCTTTATTAGTAAATTCTCTCAATACAACACAAAGTAATGGTGCATTTATACAACCAACTGTTATGGAATCTGGAACTAAACAGCTGAATTATATGCATTTTTTTTTACTTGTTTCTGCAAGTCTTTATTAAAACTCTTAAAATCTCCATGTTTCTTCCTCCCAGCTGTCCTATCTCTCTGCGCAGCATTGACACACAGCCAAAAGAAACAACAAAAAAAAACTCATCTGCAGCTGGATGACACAAAGTATGTAAATTAGGTGATGATGTCATATAGCGCCTTTTAGGACAGCCAATAACTACTTTTCTTGGCTTACATTAATTTCTTCAAATTAAGTCACTATACAGTCAGAGAAGTTTTAATAATTTTGATCAATTTTAGCATTTAGAATTCAGGTAAGAAGTTTTCTTGTGACTTCTGACATCCCTGATCGTCAGAGACATAGGTGGTAAAGGCTAGTTATAAAAGCTTATTATTGATTGACACTGGTGTAAGTGGAATTTCCCAATCAATACTTTTCCATTATGCAGTCAGCATGCATGTATATCTTTTAAAAGTATTTTCCTGCCTCTTTTCAATTTTTCAAATTTGATACAATGCATTTTTTTATGTCAACCAGGCGTCAAATGTAGACAGTAACACTGAATCACTTCCAGTTCAATTGAACAGATGCTACTGTACGAGGTCCCAGGGTACAGGTGGTGAAAGTGCAAATTCTGTTGGATGGTTGTAGTTTTCTACTGCAGAGGCTTTGGTATGTAATACAGCATCAGGGGAATTATTGTTGAAGAAATAAGTGTTCTGCTTATAACCCGCTGGGTAGAAGTATGGGAGCTCTGAAAGGAAACAAATGAGAAATTAGACAGATTATATTCTAAATGTGAAGTTATAATATCAAAAAATCTGGATGAAAAAATTAGGATTAAAATTCTCTGTGTGTAAAAAGTTTCAACATATTAAGAAACTAAACAAACACTTCATTCATATATAGTGCTTTACAAGACTTTTTACACACCAAACATTCCAAATTTTGTCACATTAAACCGATAAATCAAGGTACTTCAACTGATTTTTTTGTTTTTTGTTTTGACCAAAACACAAAAGAGCATAGCTGTGATGTCGAAGGGGGAATTATTCTTGGTTTTCACAATTGTACTTTGTATTTATATTCAGTCCCCTGAGTCAGCCATTAGTAAAACTAACTTTTAACAAATTAATAGCAACAGTTTCATACATTCACACATTGTTATTGTTAGCTAATGTTATGTCAAAAATAGTTAAAACTTGATCAGATTAAGGCCCCGTCCACACGAAGACGAACCCTGGCCTAAACGCACAAATTTTTCACCAAACCAGCCTCTCATCCACACGAAGCCGGCGTTTCGGGGGTCTGTAAACGATCATTTTTTTATTCAGCCTTCAGAGTGGGAAGATTCTGAAACGCCGTTTTCGCGTTTCCATCTTTACGCCCTAACCGCATATTTTTTTTTACACGCATGCGTCATAGCGTCGCCTCTACACACGCATGCGCGACCAGTATCACAACAACAATGGCGCCGTTGCTAATGCTACTCACCCTGCTGTCAGGCTTACAACAGAATCTTCTTCTTCTGGAATATCTCCAGGAAGAACAGAGCAATATCGACGACATAGTTCAGCACCTGAATTTCACTTAACCACGAAAATGGACCCGCAGGGCAACCATGTATAAATATTAGTGCACATGCCCAACATTTCGTCGCTTATTTTTGCTTTGGCACCACAGCGCCACTTACGGGCCTGGCATACATTTTGCAGCGTTTTCATGCATTCGTGTGGACGCTCACATTTATTTTACGTCTCCGTCTTTACGGCAAACGTTTTGGAAAATATCAGCGTTTCGTGTTCGTTTTGACTTCGTGTGGACGGGGCTTAAATGGAGAGTGTGAGCGATGATCGATTTGGAAGTTTTTTAAAGAGGCCCAATTAGATTTCGGCTTGACTTTGACTAGGCCATTGTGACATATATCCTTTGATCCAAATGATGTAATTGTAGCTCTAGCTGTATGTTGAAACATAAACATGTCTCTACATTAAAGGCATTTGATCAGTGGCGGCTCGTGGAGTTTTCTCCGGGGGGGGGGCTATAAATTCAAAATAGACGTATACCAAAAAAAAAACAGTCAAACGTATACTAAGTTATCACACTAGTATATTTATATGAATGCCTACAACAAAAAACATTATAAAAACAAAACAAAATTTCATGAACAGCTTTACATTTTGTACATAAATCTTTCCCTTCTGAGGCTTTGTAAAGGTAAATCTGTGTTTTGCATGGTCCAATATTGTGCCACAAACCTAAAAAATAATGAAGAAGCTTTTGGTCAGCTTTAAATTTTTTAATAAGCTTCACTTTTGCCATTCCGAATGAAGTAAGTCTGACTTCATCAATTTTGGTTCCAAGGATGTTCAGAGACGGAGGTTTAGTGAGCAATGCAGTCAGGAACCTGGGAGTTGTCTTCGACGGTCAACTGAACTTCAAACAATAAATAAATGCTGTTGTCAAAGCTAGCTTTTTCCAGCTGCACCTTTTGATCAAGGTGAAACCCTTCCTCTCACAACAAGACCTGGAGAAGACGATTCACGCATTTATTAGTTCTCGGTTGGATTATTGCAATGCCCTCTACTCTGGCCTTCTACTTTACAGTCATCACTCCAACGGTTACAGTTGGTACAGAATGCAGCAACTCGTCTCCTCTCTTGCTCATCTAGGCAAAGCCAAATCACTCCCACCAATGGCGCCTGGTCCGTTTTCAGATTGATTTTAAAGTTTTAACACTTGTCTTTAAAACCTTCATGGTCTCGCTCCGTTATATTTAACTAAGATGTTGACCATACATCGCCCCAGCAGAGCTCTCTGGTCTGCTGATCAAATGGTTCTGGACGTCCCTAGGTCTCTGTATAAACAGTGGGGCAATTGTTCCTTTGTGGTTACCGAACCTACACTTTGGAACAACCCGCCCCTCGGTCTGCGGGTTCTCACTGATCTGCACCTTTTTAAGTCCAGATTAAAGACTATTTTTTTTCAAGCTGGCTTATAACACTTAGGACACATTGTTTTATGCCTATGATTTTAGTTTATTTTTGCAATGTTTTTCTGTGAAGCACTTTGGTTCTCCTGGTGTTGTTGTAAAGTGCTATATAAATCAACTTTGATTTAATTTGATTTCTACCATAAATGCCATTTGGTAAGAGTTCAATTTGTTGTAAAATCCAATTGACAAAATCTAACAATTCCTTTATCCCTAAACCATCTGCTGGGTTCCTTGGTTTTAATGATTTTTTTATTTTTTTTGTCACTAATGTTTTCTAACAAAACTGACATTATGATACCCGCTTTATAATCATGTGACTGCTTATTTAAGGGTTTTAGACTAAAGGGACCGAATAACAAAACATGCAAGGCCTCTATTTATAAGACATGATAAAAACAGTGTTACAATTATGTCTGTGGTTTATTCAAATTGGGGATCTTGCATCATTTTCCTCCATATCTTCAGTAACTCTGGTCATTGAAACACAAACAAATGCAGCAGAAATACTCACCACTTAGCTTATTAGCAGAGTGCGGTCTTTTGAGAGCCTCCTGAACTCTTCGTTCAAGCCTCCAACATCTCAGTATGAAGAGAAGAGCTAGGCACAGCTGCAGGGCAAAGGTCAACACTCCCAGCACGATGATGGTGCTGTTGACTGTTGAGGGGGAGGAACAGAGAACAGGCAGACAGTTTTATAATGTACTCCAGTTTCCTTTCAACATACAAATGCAGGGAAATAAAATAGGCTATATGGTAATGTAGCTGTTGCTTGGCAAGAAAAAACACTCCCATCTGTGTTGTCATGATCCACACATGAAGCTGTTTTCCTCATTGTGCTGAAACACCTCCATAAGATCCATATCTTTATTCAAGTCATGTTAGCACATTCGTTTCCCTAAACTGACCCCACAGAATCAGGAGCATAAAAATGTTTTGGCATGCTGAAGCATTAGGGGTCCCTTTATAGAGGAAGTAAGAGGCTGAACTGAACTGAAAAACAGCCCCACACTATAACGATTTATACTTGACACAATACAGGCAGACAAGTGCTGCTCTCCTGGCAACTGCCTCACAAAGACTCGTCTATTGGATTGTCAGGCAGAAAGGCGCAATCTGTTATTCTGTAGAACATGTCTCTACTCTCTACATCACAGCATCTGATGTTTTACATGACAATTGGTGACGTAAGGCTTGG